CATTTACGAACTTAACCTGCCTACTGGCCAATATATACATGTGTGCAAAATTTTACCCTTTTATCTCAATTTGTTCGAAAGATAGCAGACAGACAGACAGACACACATACAGACAGACGGACATGGCTGAATCGTCTTAGAATTTTACGCTGATCAAGAATATATATAATTTGATGGGTCTGACATGAGTAGTTCGAGGAGTTACAAACGGAATGACAAAATTAATATACCCTCCATAGTATGGAGGGTATAAAAAATCGGTGAATAATGTAGCTAACATCATCAAAATACCTAATATCGGTGTGTACCGTTATATGAGGGCTATACGAAGACGTGGATCTGCAAAGACAATTTTCTGTCATAGGCTGTAGTTTTCATTTCAAACTTCAAATCCCAAATTTGAAGCAATTCCAATGAATATTGTCGCTAAAATCATCAAAATACCGAATATCGGGAGGTACCTTTATATGGAGGCTATGCCAAAACGTGGACTTAATGACCCATTTTCAATACTAAAAGTCCTGCAGACATAATATACATTTGAGTAAAATTTTATCAATCTACTTCCATTCGTTCGGAAGCTAGAGTTATTTCCACAGACGGACAGACGGACATCCCTAAATCGACATAGAATTTTATGCTGATCAAGAATACATATACTCATGCTTTTGAATTATTGATTCTTTAAAAGGGAGATTAAAAATCCAAGTTTCTACAAAGGAAAATCACGTTTATTGTTAAACTATAAATTCCTTATGGAAACTTAAGAAAATCCTTGTTTCTTGTTGACCAATTGACCTTTGTTAAAGGAATTTCAAAAACAATCTTAACAATTTGTGAAATTTTGCCTGTCACTGTTGTCCCATAGAGACGAAAACAGGTTGTTATTTTTTATGTTTTGACGGCACGTGTTGAGATAATGATAAATCTAGTATTATGTTGTCATGTTCTCATTTCATTGAACGCCGGAGATCATTGTATTCGGAGGGAGCGAGAGATTGCCAGAGAGATCGATTAGAGAGTAGGAAACTTCCTCTATAAAGATCGATTCAGATATGAGTTGTAAGATTAAAACAAATAACAAACAATTTATTTAATAAATTGTGTTGGAGATTCTTGAGTAACCAGCCAATGTTTGTATGTGTGCGTGAGAGTGTTTTTTTTTTTTTTACTGTATCTGTGTTGTATTGTCTAAGGGAATGACAACACTGACCAGGGTGAAAAAATACGAATCTCATCATTGGAATGACTTGGCAATTTTTCTATACTAATTGAGTAGACACACAGTAAAAATGATAATAACAAAAATTAAATGGCAAAAAAATATTGTTATTTTGCGGGTGCAAACATACTTGAAATTTAGTACCAGAAATAGTAAAAATCTTATTCATGAGAAAGTGAAAAGTCAATTGTCCGTTAATTACAAAAAAACTATAGGAAAAGGTAATAGAGTTAGGAAGGCTTGGGGTATTTAGGAGAATAGTACCTTGGGGGCATAGACAAATAAACGTATAGACTTAAAAGTTGTACTGTTTACCCCTCCCCGCAGGTGACATCATGACTGATCATTGGGACAGTAAAGTCACTCAGGGTTAGTAATGTCAATCGACTTCGAAAACATTTTTTTTATTCCACGACACAGTTAAATAATGTAAACGTAAAAGATTTTTAATTGAAAAATATTAATAACTCATAAAAATATGCTATATTTTGTGAATTGAGAGAATTGAGTGAATAGACATAGGCTCTCTCGCAAATAACAGATGAGACAACTTTTTACTCTATAACTTTATTTGTCTATAGTTAGGGTGGGGTTAAATACAAAATCGAATACGAGAAGGATTTTGTTGGGCCTGATATTAGGCCTTATGTCAAATTCGTGTCAAAAGAGAAAGGCTTCTAGATGTAGGGGTTTTTCTGAGATTTATTGTGAAATTTCGTGTAGAGTATTTTCTCCCTTAATTCTTTCTGTTGAAAACGTAGTATTACGTTACTTTCATGCATTTAATCGAAAAAAGCGGTTACAAAGTATCAATCGGTTTTTCCGCCAGATGTATAACGTCCACCAATGTCTGTTTATTAAAATAAATGTTGACTTGCGTTATGATTATTTAAATGTTAACCCTCTATTTTGATGGTACTGAAGGAGGGTGCCAATATTTTCCATTTCGTATCAGATCTAAGTCAGATATAAATATTTCAACGTGTCAGATTTGGTCTATATCGACTACTGCTTTATGAGAAACGTGTGACAATTTTTGTTCCAGATACTGATCAAAATATTGGGATGTGCAAAATGTAAATTCAAATCGAATTTAATGCGAATATTTTTTTAACTTTTTTGAGGAAAGAACAGAAGGAAGAGACCGATATATTCCATATTCACATCAGCTACCTGATTGAAAAAATATTTGATATATAAATATTTAAAATTGTGACCCTTTGTGAAGGAGGTACCAAAAGGGTTGGGTCGATTTTTATCATTCACTAGAAAATATATAGGAATATGTAAACTTTAAAGGGAATCAGATCCTTATTTCACATTTTATGATAAATGTCAACTCTTTGTAGGAGAGGTACCAGAAGGAGTGGACCGATACCTACCGTCTACACAATACGAACTTCAAAGGAATCGGATGCTAATTTGATATTTCACGAGCTTCATAACTATTCAAAATGTTGGTACCTCCCGTTGTGGGGGAGGTACCAGAAGTAGTGGACCGATAAATCCCACTTTCACACTAGATTTTGTTTTGGTAGAATTTTTAGGATGTGTGAAATTTTAAAGGAATTGGATGTTTATTTCGCGTTTTAAGAGCTTCATGGTTATTCAAAATTTTGTCCCGTGGTGGGGGAGAATCCAGAAGAAGTGGATTGATATATTCCATATTCACATCAGACCTTGGTTTAAGAAAGATATTGTGATGTATGTAATTTGAAGACAATCCGATAAGATACGATTTAAAATTATTCAAAATGTTGACCCTTTGTGGGTGAGATACTTGATAGAGTGGACCGACATTGTCCTTTTTCGCACCTGACCTAGCACTGATGCAAATATTAGTATTTGCAAGGTTGGAGCAAAATCGTAGTATTCGACCTTCTGTGGGGGAAGTACCAGAAGAAGTGGACCGATGTTGCTCATGTCTGAACTCGATCAAGGTTTGACAATTATGTTACGATGCACTTAGTTTGAGCAAAATCGGATACTTTCTTCGACAGTATCGTGTGCACCAGCCAGACAGACAGAAGGACGGACATCTCAAGATCGTCTCCAAGTGTCCTGAAAAGGATTGTATCCAAAGGGACCTAGGGTCTAAAGCCGTTACCTCGATGTGGCACACACAAAGAGGTACCGGATCCTTATTTCACATTTTATGTTAAATGTTAACCCCTTGTGTGGAAGTTACCTGAAGGAGTGGATCGATATACCCCATCTTTACACCAGATCTTGTGTGATAGAAATATTGAGATTTGTCGACCTTGAAAGGAATCGGATGATCATTTCGTGTTTTTAAGCTTTATGATTATTCAAAATGTTGACCTGTTGTGGGAGGTATCAAAAGGATGGAACCGATATGTCCCATATTTTCAGGAGATCTCGGATAAGCCTTTCTTTTATACCCTCCACCTTGGAAAGGAGGGTATATTAACTTTGTCATTCCGTTTGTAACATTCTTAAATATTCGTCGTAGACCCCATAAAGTATATATATATATTCATAATCAGCATAAAGTTCGATTTAACGATGTCCGTTTGTCTGTCTGTCCGTCTGTCTGTTGAAATCACGATACAAAATTAAGCAGAGCAATTTGTATTGTGTCTAGGATAGTTGGTATTGAAAATGAGATATATCGGTCCACGTTTTGGTATAGGCCCCATATAACGGTACCTCCCGATATTCGGTATTTGATTATTTATGCCACATTTTTTCACGGATTTGTCTGAAAATTGGTATTTGTAGGTTATAAATGGTCCTATTTCGTGTGGCGAGACATTGTATGAATAGGTCCGCGCTTTTGAATAGCCCCCTTATAAAGGTACCTTCCGATATTCGGTATTTTGTTCATTTTTGCCACATTTATTCACGAATTTGTCTAAAAATTGGTATTTGTGGGTCCTAATGGATTCTAGCTCCTTTGGCAAAACATTGTATATATATAGGTCCACGTTTTTGTATAGTCCCATATAGCCGTATTTCCCGATATTCGGCATTTTGATGATACTTGGCACATTTTCCCATGAATATGTCTAAAAATTGGTATTTGTGGGTCATAATGGGCTCCAGTGTTTCCTTTAGCCTAAGGTAGAGGGTATTAAAAGTTTGGAACGGCCGAAATTAATGTTTTTTTACTTGTTTTATGATGTAAATTATTTTCTTTGAAAATGTTTACCATTTGTGGTGGAGGTACCATGGGGAGTGGACCGATGTTGCACAACTCCGAAATCGATCCAGGTTTGACAATAATATTACAATGAAAATCGGATGCTCCCTTCAAAAGCTATCGTGAGCACCAGCCAGCTAGACAGACGGAAAATACTGAATCTTATCGCCGAAGATGATTCGGCATAAAAAGGTTTAAATTAGATGAAAAGGTGTTAGATTTTTAAACTAAATGTCCACTATTTGTAAAAATCTCCAAATCTAAAATGTTTATATATAAGTCTATATATACGAATTTCCCAGACATGGAACTTTCTTCCCACATTGCTATTTAAAGCTTCCAATAATATATTTTACTAAATATTCACTTTGGTGGAAATTCTAATTTGGCAATTCATGTTTGGGTATTTAATTTTTTTGTTTTGTTTTCAATTCAAACAACAAATATCCAGCTGTATTTATATTCTCGCCAAATTATTCGTTATACACTCTTACACACACACACACAATGATAAAAAACAATTGATTATAACTATTAAACGATTCGTGTACGATAATGCTGAGAATTCTAATGCTACTCGAATTCGAAATCAGTATCATTTCTATCCAGCACTAATAAACAAGGGACGTGTCGTGGAATAAGGTTTATTTTAGAAAAAAAAAGATCGTGGAGAACATTTTGAAAGTGTTTTGTTTTTGTTTGAATTTCGTCGTGAATGAATTAAACAAATTATTAATAAATTAAATAAATAAAATGGTATTTAAATATATTTTTCAAACTAAACTAAAAAATGGCTATTATTAAATTGTGAGAATAGTTGTGTTGAAAATTGTACTGCGTATAAAATATTGCGGAAATATTGTTTTGGTGTGGTTTCTAATGCGGTTTTTGGAATGTGGCGCCCAACGTACAGATGATATTGTGAATTGGCTTTACAGTTAAAAATATTAGAATGGGAACCGTATTTATGTCATTCATAATGTAATTTGCCTTAAGACATGTTGGTTATTCAATATTTGTACTTTATGGGCTCAAAAAGTTCTAAAAGGTACAAAATGGTACAACTCTGTTACAGAGTGACCCCCAACTGTAATATTTTGTCTGATAATCACACTCCGTGCAACTGGGTGAAATATTGAGGGATTTTTAAAATATTGTACTTTAAAGGTACGAAATGGACTAAAAGGTATCAAATTTTTTAAAATATTGAAAAATTCGTAAGAACTTAAATTTGAAATTGTGAAGGGGGTCACCCTTTGCGTATGGGGCGACATACTGAGGAATTTTCGAAACTTCTAACTTCAAGAGTACAAACAATTAAAAAAAACATTAAGTTCGGCCGGGCCGAACATTTAATACCCTCCACAATTAGGTAAAAAAAACCATTGGGTATATAAAAGTATCTGAATTCAAACGTTTCCCACTTTAAAATATAAATACCAATAACACCGTTTGGATAATGCTGTTAAACTTTTCTAAAAACCATAATGTGGCTGGGGCCGTTATATGGGGGCCTTACAAAAACGTGAACCTCTATGGACAATGTTATACTTCAAGGTTGCTATCTGCCAGATCTTCTTAAAAACCAAACTTGAAACAATTTCGTGGGAAAATGTGACTTGGATTGGACCAAAATACCAAATATATGTGCGCTACAGGAAAACGTAAACCTAAATACTCAATATTCTTCCACCGGAACTAGAACTACTAACTACAAATACCAATTTTTGGACAAATCCGTGAAAAAATATAGTAAAAATCATCAAAGCAACGAACATCGGGAGTTACCGTTATACGTGGACCAATATATACTATTTTTCGCCACCGGAGATAGATCCTATTATGAACTACAAATACACATTTTTGGACAAATATGAAAAAATCAACAAAATACCGAATATCGGGAGGAGAAAAAACTGTCGGAAATAGCATCAAATTTTAGAATAAGTTTAGATTTGTTCGAATCGGTCACCTTTGGCATGAATTATGGTCTTCAAACGGCCAATGAAACCGTCACACACTGCCCGAATGTTACTCTGCGGTATTTTGGCCCATTCCCGGCGAGGCGCTTGCTTCAGGTAATCGACACATTGGTATTTTTTAGTGCCAACCTTGCGCTCCGCACACAATAGTCCATCGGATGGTATCCGGAAATTTTGGTGGCCATTGTGCGCTGAAAATGAAGTGAAGAACCTCATTTGGTAACCATTCTTGGTTAGCGCGTGCTGAGTGCGATGGTGCTGAGTCTTGTTGGAATGTCCAAGGTCCACACCATCACTATGGCCGGCGATTGATTTCTGGTGGCCAGCCGAAGGTGCACATTTTCAGCTGACCTCTTTGGCAAGTAAACACGATCATTTTGTTTGTTTACAAACTGCTGGACAACGAATGTTTTCTCATCGGAGAAAACCAAATTCGACAGTTTACCACTTTCGACCAAGCGAAGCAACTCTTTAGCTCTTTTGCGTCTGTTTTCTTTCTGTCGCGGTGTAAGTTCTTGCACTTTTTGGAATTTCAATGGCTTTACCCCGAACTCATTTTTCAATATTTCCGAATGGAAAATTACGATATGTTCAGCTCACGAGGCATTTTTCGGCCACTGCGACGCGGGTTTCGTTCAAGTCGTTTCTTTACTTTTCGACGATTTCTGCTGATGTTGCTGTTTTCTTCCGTCCACTTCCTTGATGTCGGGCTACGCTACCTGTATCACGGTAACGAGCGTTTTTTTATTTATTCACCTTTAAATGCTGGAGTGCTCTAACGATAGCCACTTGTGGGTTTCCAGGCAAATATAAAGAAATCACACTATCACGCTTGAATTCCATCACGAATAACTTTTTTTCTGGAAAATTCTCAACAAATTGCTTTTGTACGCTTGTAAACAATATAATGAGCTGTCACTGGAATAATTTTAACAGCTGTTGGATGAGTTGCTTAGAAATGACAGCAGTCTGAAGTTGGTTGCAGTTTTTTCATCTCATCCTGTACAATATGTTGCCACCAGAGCTAGAACCCATTATGACCTACAAATACCAATTTTTAGACAAATCCGTGGAAAATGTGGCGAAAATCATCAAAATACCAAATATCGGGAGGTCATATGGCGTCTATACCAAAACGTGGACCGATATATCCCATTTTTAATACCAACCATCCTAGACACAATAAAAATTGTTCTGCCAAATTTTGAATCGGTACTGTAAGAGTACAAAAGTACCGATAGGTTCTAAATAGTACAGCATAGTCACTGAACAAAATAGGTATGATAAGATGGTATTTTTTAGAAAATTGGTACGGAAAGAACTAAACATATTTAAAATAACGGATTATAGCTGGAAATCTGTCGCTCAAAAGAATTTGGCGCAAAATCTACCAAGAGGTGTTAAATTTCCTTTGAACTGATAGAGACTGCGTTTTGAATATTATTATTAGAATCACTGGTTCTGTGATAAGACTGAATCTGATGTTAAGTGGTAATTAGTTTTTGCAGTGCACACCGATAGTGTCAACTACCAAGATAAGAAGTGATCATATTTTTGTTGTTATTGTTGCCGAAATTCGGACAGGAAATGTGTGTAAATTGCGAAAAATAATCATTATTTGGCTTCAGCATATCTCTGTTGCTATTGGGGTTTATCAACGAGCATAACCACTTTTTGGAAGCAGACTGGCCACCTGTATTTTTTAATAAGTGGCATAAGTGCTCTAAATATCAAAGATATGATAAGTTTGGCCGAACAGAACTTGCTCTACCCTTCATTACAAGGAAAACTTGAACTGTGGTGGCCGTTAGGGGTTGACTTCAAAATTCATAAAATCGTTGCTTATCTTTACTTGTTCGACATGCCAGAATCTTGAAAACAAAACCTTGATCTACCTTAATTCATTCGCGGAATCGAATGATTTCACATATAATATTTTAGCCACTAAACACATAACGAAACTAGCAAAAGGTGCCGATTTTTAAAACTTTGTGAATCCAAATAATTAGGCCAATATTATATGGAGTATAATAATTGAAGATATCGGTCCCCTCTTTTTGGTCATGATTTTAGACGAAAATCGTGAATTTATAAGTAATTGTGCTTTGGATATAACCAAATATTAGGGGCCATCTGAGAAAATGTTAGAATTTTTTAAAAAAATGTTTGAGAACTCCTGAAAGAAAAAACTTGTTTTGTAATATTTCTTAGGAACATCTTATCTCAACAATCGTTGTAGTTTTGTGGGAATCGCTGACAGAAAATAGTGGATTTTTAATTATTTTATGCACCTCCAGACTACACGTCGTAGATTTTTCTTCTAAAAGACTTCTTAAAAAATTTTTTTTAAACACAAAGATTTCTTAAACAGTTTCGACTTTCCTAAAAAATATTTAAAAATTCAAATAAACGTTTTTTTATAAAAACAACAATAAAGTGATTAAGCCTGACCATTTTGCAACAACAAAATTTAAAAATCCATAAAAATTTCATGGAAATTCCAAGATTTTTGCAGGGAATTTTGGTCAGGAAATTTTGACAAAAATTCTCAAAATCGTGGAATTTTTATGACATTTTTAACTTTTTTTTTTTTTCAAACAACTCCTGAGCAAAAATAGTGGATTTTTAAGTATTTTTTTATGGACCTCCTGAACAGAAATGTTCGATTCTAAGAATTTTTTTTAAGACCTCCTCATAAAAAAGTAAGGACCCACATCCAATTTTTCTGCCCAAAACTTTTCAACGTCTCCACATGTAAGCCCTAGAATCCAAAGGTGAAATCAATATCAAATTTCAAAATTCCAACCCTTCAAGCTTTCAAAACAATCTCCATATCTCAACATCAGATACCAACAGTTACCTCAATATCAATCTCAATCATAATTCCAGCTCTTTAGTTTCTCCCATTAACAACTTTAGTACCATTTAGTACAATTATAGTACGCATAACCAAAACCAGCTCCTTCTCTCAAACGTAGACAGCAACAGCTCTATCCCTTCACCCAATACCAAATTAAGTATTATTTAGTCCTTTTCTTACAATTATTATACACATTTTGAAAAGCATCTCCGTATTTCAATTTAAGATAACAGCCCTATCCCTTCACCCAATTTAATATATTTTAGTACTTTTCGAACAATTATAGTACACATTCCAGATACCAAGAGAGACCTCAATATTAAATTTCATAATTTCTGTTCTTTAATTCCTCCTTACCAAATTTATACCACTTAGTACCTCGATATCTTAAACACTGTTACCAACAGTGACACCTATATCATATTTAAGGATTGCAGCCCTATCCCTTCACCCAATACCAAATCTAAAACCATTTAGAAAATTTCGTACAATTATAGTACACATTTTCAAAAGCATCTCCATATCTCAATTTATGATACCTCAATATCAAATTTTGAGAATTTCAGCCCAATATCATCACCCAATTCCAAATTTAATACCATCTACGACTTTTCGTACAATTATAGAACACATTTCCAAAACCACCTCCGCTACACAAGAACAGCGACCCTAATATCAAGTTTCAGATTTCAATCACTCTCTCTCTCTCTCTCTTCACCCAAAACCAAATTGAACCAAATACAGTACTATTTAGTACATTTCGTACAATTATAGTACACATTTTCAAAAGCATCTCCATATATCAATCTAAAATGCCAGTAGAGACCTCTATATCAAATGTTGGGATTCCAGCTCTATGGATGAACCATTACTCTTTTCAGCACGTTTTAGTATTTTTCGGGCAATTAGAGTACACATTTCTAAAACCAGGTCCTTCTCTAATTTCAGGATTCCACCTCTACCTCTTCTCCCAATACCAAACTTAGTACCATATGGTACATTTCGTACATATATAGTGCACATTTCCAGGACCACCTCAATATCTCAATCTAAGCAGAGACCTCAATATCAAATTTCAGGATTCCAGCCCTTTCGATCGCCTTTACCCAATACCCAATTTAGCATCAAATTTTAAAATAAGTTTAGATTTATTCGAATTGGTCACCTTTGGCACGAATTATGGCCTTGCTGCCCGAATTCTGCTCTGCGGTATTTTGGCCCATTCCCGGCGAAGCGCTTGCTTGAGGTGACCGACACTTAGGTATTTTTAGAGTCAACCTTCCTTTCCAAAATACTCCAGACACAATAGTCCAACGGATTGGTATCCGGAGTTTTTGGTGGCCATTATGCGCTGGAAATAAAGCGAAGAACCTCATTTTGTAAACATTCTTGGATGGCGCGTGCTGAGTGCGATGGTGCTGAGTCCTGTTGGAACGTCCAAGGTCTGCGGCCAAAATGTTTGCTTGCCCAAGGCTTTAATACACCCTCCAGAATATTTTCGCGATAATATTCGGCATTAATACGAGTGAAGAGCAACCATCGGCTGTTTTGGCGGCCCACACCATCACCATGGCCGGCGCTTGAGTTCTGGTAGCCAACCGAAAGTGCACATTTTCACCCGACCTCCTTGGCACGACCATTTTGTTTGTTTATATAAAAAACTGCTGGACAACTAAGGTTTTCTCATCGGAGAAAACCAAATTCGGCAGTTCACAACTTTCGGCCAAGCGAAGCAACTTTTCAGGTCTTTTGAGTCTATTTTCTTTCTGTTGCGATGTAAGTACTGGCACTTTTTGGCTAATTTTTCAAAATTTGCCGAATGGAATATTGCGATATGTTCAGCTCACGAGCTATTTTTCGGCCACCGCTGGTTTCGATCAAGTCGCTTCTTTATTTTTCGAACCATTTCTGCTGATGTTGCTGTTTTCTTCCGTCGACTTCCTTGATGTCGGGCTACGCTACCAGTTTCACGGTAACGAGCGATGGTACGAGACACAAAATATTTATTCACATTTAAATGCTGGAGTGCTCTAACGATAGCCACTTGGGGTTTTCCAGCCAAAAATAAAGAAATCACACTATCACGCTTGAATTCTATCACGAATAACTTTTTTTCTGGAAAATTCTCACCAAAATGCTTCTATATACTTGTAAACAATAAAGTTAGCTGTCACTGGAATAATTTTAATGGCTGTCGGACAAGTGGCTTAGAAATGACAGCAGTCTGAAGTTGGTTGTAGTTTTTTCATCTTACCCTGTATATATTTCTATCCATTCGCCCAATACCAAATATAGTACCATTTAGGACTTTTAGTTCAATTATGGTACATATTTTTGAAACCGCCTACATATGTCCAGGTCGCTGTTCGTGTGTACAGCGACCTTAATAACAAATTTCAGATTTCATGTGCAATCTGTTCACACAATAACAAATTGTACTATTTATTACTTTTCGTACACTTGTACATTTCCAAGACCAACTCCTTATTATAAACCTACCACCAGCAAGGACCCCAATACAAAATTTCACAGTTTCAGCTTTATCCGTTCATCCTAAACCAACCTGTTCCAAATTTAGGTACCATTTAGTACAGTACACATTTGCAAAGACCACCTTTTATATCTAATTTACTTTCCAACCTTAATTCTCAAACCAAATTTCAATTTTTTATCTGTTTCCGTTCACATAATACCAAATGGTACGATTTTGGAAGTTTAGTACAATTTTTGAACTTTTCGTAACATTAAAGTTTGGGTTTCCAAAAATCCTTTGGCACACCTACCCAGCACTCCATCAGTAACTCTCATTTCAAAGTTTCAGAATACTAGTTCATTCCGTATGTCCAATACAAAGCACTAAATTTTTAGTACATTTTAGTACTTTTCGTATCCTGTAAGTATGGACTTCCAAAAACACCTAGTGCCAAATTCCAAGATTCTAGCTTCAGCCGTTTCCTCTGGGAGTTGTCAGTCAGTTATTTCACTACTCTTTTAAATGTATTAGTGTATATTTCGAAAACCACCCCCATATCTTAATTCCATATACCAACAGAGACCTCACTTTCAAATTTGAGGATTCCAGTCCCAGCCGTTTCGTATGAGAGTTTATTATCACCCAATCAGTCAGTTATTTCACTACTCTTTTAAATATAGAGATTAAAAAAATAAAAATTCAGGCCCTAAAATTCCCAATTATCGCAGGAATAATTTGAAGATATAAACCTCCCAATGGAGAACATTAAACACTGAACTCTAACTGTACTCACTCAGGTTTACTTCACCAACTGTCATACACACATGCATTTGCAATGTTTCTAAACACATTTGGTTTTCCAAAAATACGACATGTCAAATCAAATTTTGTAATTCTCTCAAAATTGTCTTCGCAATTATGTCCGGGTAAGAGTAACTTATTGCAGTGACAGATATCTCGGAATTAATACAATGAATTATGTCTGCATGAATGTTCGTTATGAGAAAATGGTCTACCACTTGACATTTGTCTAATACGGAAACTTAACACGCACACACACACACATACATAAAATTGTGTCACATTCTATACCTCTGCCAACAACAGTATTTTTCACAAAAACAAAAAGAAAGAGAGGAAATTGGAAAGAAATCCACCAGATTCCAGAAAGTGCAAGTACAACACCTACCAAGTTTCACAATAAAAATAGCCTAGCCAACGATGAGCCCCATTCCCAAAGAATCTCTTGGATGTTGGTTCGTCGAGTGGCTCTATGTGTGTTGTGACATCAGCAAAACTAATTAACTCAAATCATGTCCATTTCAATTCTCCCATCCTAGCATCCGAAACACATCACCTGTCTTACGGCCTGCACACTCCTGCTGTTTCTGCTGCTGACCTGTTGTGGTTCCGGCACGAATGAAGTTGAGGGTGCTCGCATATTGGCCGTCTATGCCTTTCCGGGTAAAAGTCATTATGGCATGCATTCGGCATTGATTAAGGAACTGGTGCAGCGGGGACACCAGGTGACAATGATTGCGGCATTTAGTTTGAAAAATCTAAATTTGGGTGCCAACTACACGGAGATTCTGATAGAGCCGGTCTATGATTTCTGGAGTGATGGTGAGATTGGAAATTGGAAAAAATTTAAAATCGGAAATATTATAGTTTTTCTCTTTTCCTTTTTTCAGTTATGGATTTCTTTAAAACCGACAACATCTTCGAGCTAACCGACATGGGTAATCTGCAGTATTACAAAATGATGGACATTATTGCCTTTTCCACGACGGAACATGCCCTGAAGCAGCCAAAAGTCCAGGCCCTAATCAATGATCCCCAGCCGAGAGGAAAATTTGATTTGTTGCTGTGCGAACAGTTCTATCAGGAACCCTTCTTGGCCTTGTCCCGGGTCTATGATGTCCCAGTGGTGACCAGCAGCACATTGGGTTTTGAATCACGTATGAGCCAAATGATGGGCGTCATAATGCCTTGGTCTTTTGTGCCACATACCTTTTCGCCCTACAGCGATCGCATGAATTTCTTTGAGCGTTTAATGAATTCGTTTTACTCCCTGACTGAGGATATCATTAGGGAGTATGATTATTTTCCCAAAATGGACACAATGATGCGGAAGTATTTTGGTCATTTGAATGGTGAGTAAAAATAATTGGAGAGAGAGAGCAACAGAGAAAAATCCTCGTGAGAAGAACTTTATTGAGTCATTTGCAAACCTATATGAGGCCTTTCAGAAGTGGAAGATCCATTTGAAGGTGGACAGAATGATAGATAAAAGCATCAGTCGTTTTTGTCAACAGATGTATACCCTCAGCCAGTATTAGATTATTTAAATTAATTTTGACTTATTTTATGATTATTTAAACTGTTGACCCTCTATGGAGTAGGTTCCGTAGGAATAGGCCAATTTTGTCAATTTCGTATCGGACCTAAATAATCATGATATAAATATTGTGACATGTGCTTGGCGCTTGAGTTCTGGTGTCCAACCGAAGTTGCACATTTTCAGCTGACCTCTTTGGCAAGTAAACACGTCCATTTTATTTGTTTAAAAACTGCTGGACAACTAATGTTTTCTCATTGGATAAAACCAAATTCGGCAGTTCACCACTTTCGGCCAAGCGAAGCAAGTCTTCAATGGCTTTACCCGGAGCTTATTTCTCAATATTTGCCGAATGGAATATTGCGTTATGTTCAGCTCACGATCCATTGTTTCTAAACAATATAATGAGCTGTCACTGGAATAATTTTAACAGCTGTCGGACGAGTGGCTTTGAAATGACATCTGTCTGAATTTGATCCTTTGTGGAGGAGGAGGAATTCTCCGATCTCTACTATCTTTATAGATCTTGTGTTGATAGAAATATTGAGATGTGGCAAGTCTAAATGAAATCGGATGTTAATTTCGCATTTTATGAACTTCGTGGATATTCACAATTTTGACCCGCTGTGGGGGAGCTACCACAAGGAGTGCACCGATATAGCACATCTTCACAGCAGATCTTGTGTTGGTAGAAATAATGGGATGTATGACCTATGCGGAGAACCTGATGAATTTTAACAGCTGTCGGACGAGTGGCTTAGAAATTACACCTGTCTGAATTTGACACTTTGTGGAGGAGGAGGAATTGTCCGATCTCTACCATCTTTATAGATCTTGTGTTGATAGAAATATTGAGATGTGGCAAGTCTAAATGAAATCGGATGTTAATTTCGCGTTTTATGAGCTTCGTGGATATTCACAATTTTGACCCGCTGTGGGGGAGCTACCGCAAGGAGTGCACCGATATAGCCCATCTTCACAGCAGATCTTGTGTTAGTAGAAATAATGCGATGTATGACCTATGCAGAAAACCTGATGATTATTTCGGATTTTATAATCGTTTTGGTTATTCGTGGGGGAGGTACCAGAAGGAGTTGACCGATCTCTACCATCTTTATAACAGATCTTGTGTTGATGGAAATATTGAGATGTATCAAGTCAGAATGGAATCGGATGTTAATTTCGCTTTTTATGAGCTTCATGGATATTCAGAATTTTGACCGTTTGTGGGGGAAGGACCACAAGGAGTGGACCGATATATTCCATCCTTACACCAGACCTTGGGCTTATAAAAATATTGTGATGTGTGTAATTTAAAGATAATGGGACTCTTACAACACATTTTATAAGAGTTATAATTATTCCAAATATTGACCCTTTGTGGGGGAGGTACTTGATGGAGTGGACCGATTCATTTTCGCCCCTGACTGATGCACTGATGTAAATAGGATTTGCAAAGCTGGAGAAAAATCGGATTATTCATTCTCTTTCTGTGGAGTAAAACATTTTTTTTTTTTTTAAATTTTTACCTTTCGTGGGGAAGGTACCAAAAGGAGTGGGCCGATATTACATCTCTCCGAACACGATCTTTGTTTGATAATACTATTACGTTGTACCAAGTTTGGGCCAAATCGCACACTGCCTTCGAGAATTATCTTGAGCACCAGCTAAACAGACAGACGAACGGACGGGCATCGCTAGATCGATTCCAAATGTCCTGAAACGGATTTGGTCTAAAGAGGCCTAGGATCGATATGTCGATGAGACATGTTTTGGCCGTATCAAATGATATATACCCTCTATAGCCACATGGCGATGGGTATAAAAAGTGGACATTTTATGCTTACGTTTTTGTCTGTATGTTTCAAATACGAGTCAAGATCTCCCTTAATACTTCAGTTTTGACAGAAAGTGTCAAAAGGAGAAATATTTTAGATCGAATTTCAATATGAGTCTCTAAATAGAAGATAGGTATAAAAAAATTACAGCCCAGTAATACCTGTATCAAATTATTTCGATTTATTTATGTATCCCATATCAGGTTTATTGGGCACCAAATAGCTAATATCAGTCCAAATGAATTTAATCTTGGCAATTCCGACTGAATTTATTCCAGAAATAAATGCTTCAAATTTGGTGAAAATCGGTTCTGATATAGCTATAGCTCATAAATATATATTTTTATACCCTCCACCATGGGTAGGAGGGTATATTAACTTTGTCATTCCGTTTGTAACACCTCTAAATATTCGTCGTAGACCCCATAAAGTATATATATTCATAATCAGCATAAAATTCTAAGACGATTTAGCGATGTCCGTCTGTCTGTCCGTCTGTCTGTCTGTCTGTTGAAATCACGATAGAGCCCACATTATTTGACGTAGACCTTTGAAATTTGGCACAAGTGTGTGTATTGTCCCTAGGATGGTTGGTATTGAAAATGAGATATATCGGTCCACGTTCTGGTATAGTCCCCACATAACGGTACCTCCCGATATTCGGTATTTTAATGATTTATGCCACATTTTTTCACGGATTTATCTGAAAATTGGTATTTGTAGGTCATGACGGGTCCCTGAGCGTGTGGCAAAACATTGCATGTATAGGTCCACGTTTTGATATAGCCCCTATATAACGGTACCTACCGATATTCGGTATTTTGATGATTTATGCCACATTTTTTCACGGATTTGTCTGAAAATTGGTATTTGTAGGTCACAACGGGTCCCTGAGCATGTGGCAAAACATTGCATGTATAGGTCCACGTTCTGGTATAGTCCCCATATAACGGTACCTCCCGATATTCGGTATTTTGATGATTTATGCCACATTTTTTCACTGATTTGTGTAAAAGTTGGTATTTGTGGGTCATAATGGGTCCTAGTTCGTGTGGCGAAACATTGTAATTATAGGTCCACGTTTTGGTGTGGCCCCCATATAACGGTACCTCCCGATATTCGGCATTTTAATGTTTTTTGCCACATTTCTTCTAATGTTCTTTTACCCTAGGGTGGAGGGTATTAAAAGTTTGGCCCGGCCGAACTTAATGTTTTTTTACTTGTTTTCATCCGACTTGGGGTTTTAAGTTCCTCAAATGGGTAATATGGACTCCACAACAATGATCTTTGGTACCAGGTACCAAATACGACTCAGAAATAAGTGCCTAAAATTTTGTCAAAATCGGTTTAGATTTGGATATATCTCTAATATATATCTTCAACCGAATTCATGTTAATTGTGCATCAAATGGCCAATATCAATCCAAATGACCTGAATTTTGGCACATCCAACTGAATTCAGTCTACAAGCAAGTACATCAAACTTGGTAAAAATCGGTTCAGATATAGCTATAGCTCTCATATATATGTTTCATCCGATTTGGGATTTTAAATACATCACATGCATAATATGCACTCCACAGATATGAGAAACATACCAGAAATACCTCTGTCGAGATCGGATCAGATTTGGATATAGCTCCTAAATGCAAGGATTCCAAGTAATCGTTAACCGAAAATTAAAAAAAAAAAAAACAAGTTAAAAAGTATCGGTCGGTATTTTGCCCCCAGATATATACCCTCAGCCTATGTTAGATTATTTAAATATATTTTGACTAGTTTTAAGATTATTCAAACGTTTGACCCCCTATGGAGCAACTCCTGAAGGAATGGGCCAATATTGCCCATTTCCTATCGGACCCAAAAATATGATATAAATATTGCGACAGATGTACCAAGTCTAAATAGAATCGGATGTTAATTTGGCCTTTTATGAGGTACTCAAAATTTCAATATTTTGTGGGGGAGGTACCAGAAGGAGTGGACCGATGTATTCACCCTTCACACCAGACCATGCGTTAATACAAATATTAGGATGTGTGAAATTTGAAGACAATCTGACTTTTACATCACATTTAATGAGATAGTAATTATTCAAAACTTTGACCATTTGTGGGGGAGGTACTTGATAGGGTAGACCGATATTGTCCATTTTCACACCTGACCTAGTGCTGACGCAAATTTTAGGATATGCAAAGTTGGAGCAGAATCGGATTATCCATTCACTTTCTGTGCAAAAAATATACTTTTTGAACATTTCGACCTTTTATGGGGGAGGTACCAGAAGGAGTGAACCGATATTGTTCATCTTAACACCAGACCTTGGGTTAATATAAATATTGGGATGTATGAAATTTGAAGACAATCGGACTCTTACATAACATTTTATAAGAGTTGTAATTATTCAAAATTTTGACCATTTGTGGGGGAGGTACTTGATGGAGTGGACCGATATTGTCCATTTTCACACCTGACCTAGCACTGACGCAAATATTAGGATTTGCAAAGTTGGAGCAAATTCGGATTATCCCTTCTCATTCTGTGCAAAATATATATTTTTTGAAAATTTCGACCTTTTGTGGGGGAGGTACCAGAAGGAGTGGACCGATATTGCCCATTTCCGAACTCGATCTAAGTTTGACAAAAATATTACGATGTAGCCAATTTGGACCAAATCGGATACTCCCTTCGAGAGTTATCGTGCGCACCAGCCAGACAGACAGACAGACGGACGGACATCGTTAGATCGACTCCAAATGTTCTGAAACGGATTTGGTCTAAAGAGACCTAGGGTCTAAAACCGTTATTTCGACTAGGCACGTTTTGGCCGTATCAAATGATATATACTCTCTGTAGCCATATGGCTGAGAATATAATTATGCCAGAGGGGAGAACTTACCACCTCTAGTTAAGTAACATTGCAATATAAACTTGCAAAATGCCGATGCATGTTTCTTCTATTTTAAGTTGTAATTTAATAATCTGCTGACTTTTTTCCTATAAATATTTATATGTTGCACTGTGTAATTGAAAACCCTCTTCTTTCGTTGCAGTTGAAATACCATCAGTTTCCAAATTGGAGAAAAACATTTCCGTGGCCATGGTGAACAGTTACACCCCCTTGAGTACAACGAGACCCCTGGTGCCGGGCATGATTGCTGTGGGAGGATTACATATATACCCCAACAAGAAATTGCCTCAAGAGCTGCAAACATTTTTAGATGGAGCTGTGGATGGTGCCATTTTCTTTAGTTTAGGTGAGAAGACACATAAAACAAAATATACCCCCAAAATTAATAATTCTCTCTCTCTCTCTCTCTCTCGCACACACACAGGCAGCAATGTCCAATCGAAAGATATGCCCTATGAAAAAATGCGCATCTTTCTCGATGTCTTCGGGTCTATGCGGCAACGTGTCATTTGGAAATTCGAAAATGACAGCATCCCAGATATGCCGAAAAATATTTTGATACGAAAATGGCTACCACAATCGGATATTTTGGCACATCCCAATGTCAAGGTGTTCATAACACATGGTGGACTCTTTGGTACCCAGGAGGGTGTTTACCATGGCGTCCCTATGTTGGGTATACCCATTTACTGTGATCAACATTTGAATATGCGCAAAGCGGAGCAGAGCGGCTATGCCATTAAATTGCATTTTCCCACGATCAACAGGGAAGTCCTTAAGGAATCTTTGAATAAATTGATTCATGATCCTCAATATCGTAATAATGTCCAGAGATATTCAAATGTGTTTCGTGATCGTCCCATGGGTGCTCGTGAGACGGCTGTCTATTGGATTGAATATGTGATTCGGCACAAGGGAGCAACTCATATTCGTTCGGCGGGTTTGGATTTGAAATGGTATCAGTTCTATCTGTTAGATGTTATTGCTTTTGCTGTTGCCGTGCCATTGTTGGTCATTGCGTTGGCGGTATTTGTCCTGCGCAAAGTGTTACGTCGCGCGGGAAAATCACCGAAGAAGGTGAAGGAAAATTAAAGACCTCTAGTTTAATTAATGGTTGCAGATGTAGACATACTGTACGTAGTTTTTAATTAGTTTTTAGTCATACGAATTGTTAAGTGCAAATAAAACTGGAAACAGGAGAAACCTTTGAAAGGATACTCTACCCGCCCTATTTTATATTTACTAAAAATATATGAGTGAGATATATCTCAATGATAATTTGAGGGTATTATCATTTGATACGGCCAAAACGTGCCTCATCGAAATAACGTGTTTAGAACCTAGGTCTCTTTGGACCAAATTCGTTTCAGGATATTTGGAGTCGATCCGTCCCTCCGTCTGTCTATCTGGCTGGTGCGCACGATAACTCTTGAAGGGAGTATCCGATTTCGTTCAAAACTTGGTACATCATAATATTATCATTAATCTTAGATCGAGTTCGGAGATGGACAATATCGGTTCACTCCTTCTAGTACCTGCCCCACAAAAGGTCGAAATTTTCAAAAAATATTTTACTTCCCAAAAAGGGAATGGATAATCCGATTTTGTTCTAACTTTGCAAATCCTAATATTTACATCCGCACTAGGTCAGGTGCGAAAATGGACAATATCGGTCAACTCCATCAAGTACCTCCCCCACAAAGGGTCAAAATTTGAAATAATTATAACTCTTATAAAATGAGATGTATGTGTCCGATTGTCTTCAAATTACATACATCGCGATGTTTTTTTTTTTAACCCAGTCTGGTGTGAAGATAAATTATAGAAGTTCAACACTTCTGGTATCTCCCCCACAAAGGGTCAACAATTTTAATATCCACAAGTCTCATAAAACGAGAAATAAACATCCGATTCCATTAAGACTTGGCATATTTCAATATTTCCATCAACACAATATCTGTTATAAAGATGATAGAAATCGGAACATTGCTACTGGTAAATCATGGTAAATCTTCTGGTACCTCCCCCACATAGGGGGAACCCCTGAACCACTTCTCGTACCTCACCCACAAAGTGTCACAATTTTCAATACTTTTATCTGTCATAACTTGCGAAACTTTACAACTTTCTATATCAAAATATTTCTCTAAACCTGAGACGAATATGGAATTCGAACGAAATTGGATATAAATGTTAGATTTTCTTGAAATTTTGCCCACACCAATATTTTTATCGGTATTAGATGAAGTATGAAAATCGAATACTTTCGTCGACTATAGCTGGTACCTCACGCTACTTTTTACGTTTTCTAAAAATTATCACATATCTCATAAGAAGTGAAGGAAGTAGTTCATGTAGCCCAAGCCTGAACATCACAATATTAATATCATATTTATTTAGGTCCGATACGAAATGGACAATATTGCCCTATTCCTTCAGACTTCAATAGAGGGTCAACAATTAGAATAATCATAACAACAAGTAACAAGTAAAAAAGCTGTAAGTTCGACCGGGCCGAACTTTGAGTACCCTCCACCATTTCGTACAAATTTGGCAATATTCCAAATATAAAATCCGTTAAAAATTCTGTTAAAATCTTAAAAAGACAGGATGTAGCCGTATATTAGGGTATATACGACGACGTGGACCTGTATAGGTAACTTTTGTCACAAGCTATTACAATATTCAAAATATGTTTATAATATACCGAATATTGGGAGGTACCATGGAGCTTATAAAACGTGAACATGCATAGACAATTTTCCGGCATATGCTGTAGTATCCATTACGAACTTCAAATACTAAATTTGAAATAGTTCCGGTAAATAATGTCGCTAAAATCATCAAAATACTGAATATGGGGGGTTCCGTTATATGGGGGCTATACGAAGACGTGGACCTGCACAGACAATTTTCTGGCATAGGCTGCAGTATCTATTACGAACTTCAAATACAAAATTTGAGATAACTTTGGTAAATAACGTCGCTAAAATCATCAAAATACTGAATATGGGGGGTTCCGTTATATGGGGGCTATACGAAGACGTGGACCTACATGACTCATTTTCTGTCTTAGGATATAGTATCCATTACCAACTTCAAATACTAAATTTGAAATAGTTCCGGTAAATAATGTCGCTAAAATCATCAAAATACCGAATATGGGGGGTTCCGTTATATGGGGGCTATACGAAGACGTGGACCTGCACAGACAATTTTCTCTCATAGACTGTAGTATCCATTACGAACTTCAAATGCGAAATTTGAAACAATTCCGGTAAGTAATGTCTCTAAAATCATCAAAATGCCGCATATCGGGGGATACCGTTATATGGGGGCTATACGACGACGTAGACCTGCATGGCTCATTTTCCGTCTTAGGATGTAGTATCCATTACCAACTTTAAATACTAAATTTGAAACAATTCCGGTAAAAAATGTCGCTAAAATCATCAAAATACCGAATATCGGGGGGAGGGGGCTATACGAAGACGTGGACCTGCATAGACAATTTTCTGTCATAGGCTGTAGCATCCATTACGAACTTCAAATACAAAATTTGAAACAATTCCGGTAAATAATGTCGCTATATATATATATATATATATATATATATATATATATATATATATATATATATATATATATATATATATATATATATATATATATATATATATATATATATATATATATATATATATATATATATATATATGTATATTTCGAGGTTTTACAAACGGAATGACAAACTTAATATTCCCTCCATACTATGGGGGGTATAAAAATATATTTATTTAATCGAAAATAAGCTGAGGATATACATTTGATAAACCGACTGATGTTTAAAAAAATTTTTGTTTTATAGTCCACTTTTCAAGAATTTTTCAATGAAAAAAATATTTTTCTTAACATTAGCTTTCTTACCTGGGTTAGGCGACTCATGTGGCGCCCAATAAATTATTATTATTTATTTTATTATTTTTCCTATACGTGGGCTTCTTGTCCCCTTTCAATGGTAACCGAAAATCTTATGTTTTAAAATGTATTCAATATACCTAGTAAAAAGTAATAAATAAAAAAGTATAATGACTTTCTGACCAAAGAAAAAATATTTATTTTTCAATCACTTCATGTCCACAAATGCGGGTTTTGCAATATTCGTTATTTTTTTATAATTTGTTGCAAAATGTTTTTAATGTTTTGTTAAAAACTTTTTTCTTATTTTACCTTGCAATGTGTTTTGGGCTCAAGTGCCCCCAAATGTTTGCTAGGGTATAGGAGTTCTTTTTTTTAATAATGACTCCTGGCATATTGATCGAAAATCGAAAAATAGTTTAAGAATTGTTTCAAGAGCCTCGAATTAAGAAAATTTAAATTTTCAGGGTTTTTGTGGTAAAAAGTCATAAATTTTTAAAAATATTTTTAAGGTCCTCATATCAGAAAAAAATCATGTATTTTTAAAAAAAAGCACATCTATTCAAGAACTTCCTGGCGATAAAATGGTGTAATATTGAAGATATTTTTATACCCTCCACCATAGTATGGAGGGTACATTAAGTTTGTCATTCCGTTTGTAACACCCCGAAATATACATTTTAGACCCCACAAAGTATATATATTCTTGATGAGCATAAAGCTCTATGTCGATTTAGCAATGTCCGTCCGTCTGTCCGTCTGTGGAAATCACTCTAGCTTCCGAACGAAATGAAGAAGGTTGATATAATTTTACTCAAATGTGTATAATGTCTACAGGACTTTTGGTATTGAAAATGTGCCATGTATGTCCACGTCTTCGTATAGCCCCCATATAACCGTACCTCCCGATATTCGGTATTTTGATGATTTTTGCGACATTATTTACCGGAATTGTTTCAAATTTGGTATTTGATGTTCGTAATAGATAATTCTGTTTAAGACAGAAAATGAGCCATGTAGGTCCACGTCTTCGTATAGCCCCATATAACGGTACCTCCCGATATTGGGTTTTTTAATGATTTTAGCGACATTATTTACCGGAATTATTTCAAATTTTGTATTTGAAGTTCGTAATAGATGCTACAGCCTATGCCAGAAAATTGTCTGTGCAGGTCGACGTTTTATAACCCCCATGGTACCTCCCTATATTTTGATGATTTTAGCTACATTACAAACAGATTTTTTTCAAGTTTCGCATTTCAATATTGGAATATTCAAAATTGCTTATGCAGGTTCAAGTCCTCGTATGGACCTTAATATATGGCTACATTCGGTGTTTTAAGATTTTAACAGAATTTTTAACGGATTTTATTTTTTGAAAATTTCCAAATTTGTTCCAAATGGTGAATGGTATTCGGCCCGGCCGAACTTACTGCTGTTTCAATTAAACAAGTAAAAAATCAGCTAAATTTGGCCGGGCCGAACTTTTACTACCCTCCACCATCTTTATACGGGGGCTATGCTAAGATGTGGACCTGCATAAGTATTTTTTTATTATAGGATGTAGTACCCATTAAAAAAAACTTCAAACTTCGAATACGAAATTTAAAAAAATTCGGGTGAATGATGTCGCTAAAATCATTAAAATGCCGAATATCAGGAGGTAGCGTTATATAAGGGTTATATGAAAACGTGCACCGACATAGTCCATTTGACTTAACCGTCCTACTGGCCAAATACACATGTGTGCAAAATTTCGACCTTCTATCTCGATTCGTTCGAAAGAAAGCTTGATAACAAAAGACAAGCTAAATCGTCTTAGAATTTTACGCTGATCCTGAAAATATATACTTTGTAGGGTCTATCATAAATATTTCGAAAAGTTACAAACGGAATGACAAAGTTAATATACCCTCCATTGAATGGTGAGGGGTATAATAAATTCCTGGCGAAAATATCTTGCATTTTCTTATTTTCGAAAATATGTATTTTTTCCTTTGCATATCCTAAAACGGCTCATGTGGCGCCAAAATGTCAGCTGGGATAAAGTAGTTTTATTTATTAATCTCGTACAGGTCCCTCCATCTATAGAAAAATTCTTCCGGCTATTTTATTTACGCAAATTAAAGCTCTCTACTATTATTCAAAGCATACTTTTAGGCATCCAACATGATCTCAATTGTTTTCAGCCAAATAGTCGCATTTTCATTGAAAATATGACAAAAGTTCTCTACAAATTAAAACACTTTTCATAAAGGTTAGATGTCAGGTTCTCCCCCACTCTTCCACGAATTACAACAGTAAATGGTTGATTTTCGCCGTAAAACATTTCAAATCTCAATTTATTTGACATCGAGCGCAGGCACTTAATACCTCGTTTAACATTCACATATGAGTGCTGCTGGTAACATTCATTTTAGCTGCGCATCTATGGAGATAATAAATGTTGGGATTATTTTCCAATGAAGTGATTTAATTGCATTTGTTTGGCAATGCATTGGGGAAAACCTCAGCGAGAAAAACCCGTAGCAATATTGAGGCAGCATGAAAATCCATTTGTTGAGCGAAACATGACATGGTGGTAAAACAGGATTAAATGAAACACCATTTTCATGACTTGAAGCCCGACCCCATTCGTTGTAGTTGCAGAAGCTTTTAATTTTTTGGGGAGCTTCGGAATAAAAACAGAGATTTCATAGAATAGCTATTGGGAAATGTTATGTTCAGGATTCGTTTGTCATTTATTCGTTATTGGTGGCTAGGAAATGTATATCTGAAACTTCAACTTTATATGAATAAATAAATATTAAATTTTATATGAATATATTATTTAATAATGACGTAAGCCCAAGCCCACTTTTTTCCGAACTATTTATCCCCACCAAAGAAAAAAAAAAACGTACGTATTTTTTTAATTTGTTTTTATATATTTATTCAATACAATTAAACAAAAATATTTAAAATAAAATTAACAAAAAACAAAATCCAAAAAAATTATTTTTTTTTAAATAATTTAAAAATAAAAATATTTTTTTTTATTAAAATTTCAATTTAGAAAATAAATTTTGTAAAAGATTTGATAGAGTTTCTTTGACATGACTAAACAGGATTAGAATATAATTTTGATATGGTTTAAACGGCAACACTTGATTGTTGACGTCTGCAGTATTGACGGCCGCGTTTATTGGCTGACCATGGTCATGGTTTTCCTGGTCTTTTTTTCCTTCTTTTCATGGGTGATGGTGACTTCCTCTGCAAGGGGGTAGAGAAAACAATTTTTAATAAATTATAAATTAATTCAGAAAGGTAGTATTGAAAAATAAAATTATAAAATAGGTGAGCTACAATTATAGTTGAAAATCCTACAATTCTAGGGATAAATAACGAATTTTCAAATGGGTCGTAGATTTTTCTAAAAAAAATCTGATTTGATTGGAAAAAGGTAGTATAGGGAAATACAGAAACCCTAATCTCACCATATTAAAAAGAGAAAACTGAATCATAGCATATTTGTTTTAAAATAAAAGGAAATACTTCAAAATCGATGCCTATGTGATGTGGGGGTTATATCCAAACTAGGTCTGAAGCTGCTTAGTTTCAATACCGTGAAAGTTCTTAAACTTTCATTGTAGTTTCCCTGGTTAGAATTGGTCGGAATTCAAGGTAATGTCGAAAATGTAAATGGCAACGCTATTGACATATTTGAGGGTTAACGGCTATAAAAAAAACGGTATAAAAATGAAGCATACTTTTAGGCATAACATATTTTGTTAATAAACCCCCACAATTGAAACTATTCCTGTAGACTCAAACAGCATGGCCGAGAATTGACTTTAATAGCCTAGATTTTCATATTATGCAGGTATAAACTCCACCCCCCCCCCTCTGAAAAATTTTTCCCTGATTCCTGAAAGTCATACTCTGAAAATAATTCTCTTCACTTAATATTTGTTTAATATTTTTCTATGAGAATCCAATAATCTCCGAGGAATTATCTCTCAAACCCAGAGACCTGAGGAGAATTTTTTTTATAGAAAAATGTATTCTTCTGAGAATTGTTTTTTTCTATAGAAAAAACTTCATCTCCAGTCCGACTGAGGAGTGTTTTTTTTCTATAGAAAAAACTTCATCCTCAGTCCGACTGAGGAGTGTTTTTTTGCATAGAAAAAACTTCATCCTCAGTCCGACTGAGGAGTGTTTTTTTCTATAGAAAAAACTTCATCCTCAGTCCGACTGAGGAGTGTTTTTTTCTATAGAAAAAACTTCATCCTCAGTCCGACTGAGGAGTGTTTTTTTCTATAGAAAAAAGTTCATCCTCAGTCCGACTGATGAGTGATTTTTTTCGATAGAAAAAAAGTTCATCCTCAGTCCGACTGAGGAGTGATTTTTTTCGATAGAAAAAAGTTCATCCTCAGTCCCAACTGAGGAGTGATTTTTTTTTCTATGGAAAAAGGTTCATCCTCAGTCCCAACTGAGGAGTGATTTTTTTCTATGGAAAAAGTTCATCCTCAGTCTCACAGAGAAGTGATTTTTTTTTTTCTATAAAAAAAAAGTTTATACTCAGCCCGGTCCACTGAGGAGATTTTTTTTTTTTTTTTGTAGAAAAATGTCATCATCCGGTCCACTGAGGAGAGATTTTTTTTCTGTAGAAAAAGTCATCCTCAGGCACACTTCTAAAGCAAAACTCTTCTTCGCCGAAAATTGAAAAAAACTTAATTTTCTTAAACTTTATCTTTACCCCTTCCCTTTTCCCTTCCTCCATGGACTTTCCGTAATCCTCTACCATACTCTCAAATACTTCCCCTTTTGCTCCACCTTCTACTCACCTTCAAACTTTTGTGGCAAAGTTTTGATAGTCTCAATGGTCTTGACATTCTTCTCGCCGGGTTCAATGATTTCCTCTTCATATTCCTCAATGATTTCCTCCTCTTCCGATTCATCGGGATTGGAGGAGGGGACGGGATCGTAAACAGTCTTTACAGCCTTCTTGACAATGCCATCGGCGGTAACGGTGGTGTAATGGTATTCAGTACCACCCTGGATTTTGATGGTTTCAACGGTGGTTACATCACCGGGATTCTCGCCAGGCACAACCTTCTTGGTGCCAGATTCCGATTTCAACTTCTTGGTGGTGGTGACATTTTTGTGCTTCTCAGCATCCTTCAAGGTCTTCTTGTAGGCCTTGATTTCCTCTTCGGTCAATTCACATTCCTCCTCTTCGTAGACAGTCTTGGAAGTGGTGATGGTCTTGCCCGATTCCAGCTGGGTGGTGTAGGTGTATTCAACGCCACCGGGCACATGTTTGGTGGACACGGAAGTGGTGTCGTTTTGTACAAAATCAGCTGGTGGTGGTGGAGCCTGGGTCTTGTTGACCTTCTTGACGATCTTCTTCTTCTTGCCGCTGTCGGTGTTGTCGTTGAGATTGGAAGAGGTCACCGATTTGATGGACTGCTCGGTTTGAACGGAGTTCTTGCGAACGGTGCGGTTGTTTTCGGTCATTTCATAGTTTTGGGTAACACGGCGAGACTCTTCAATGGTGGAGGTGTTCTTCTGGGTCTTTTGCACCAATTTACGGCTGTCAGTGGAGTCGGTGGACTCAATGGAGGCCTTGCGTACAACATTCTTCTTGGCACCGGGTTTTTGGTTATCTTGGGGTTTGTATTGGGCGGCATCGGGGAAGGGAGTACCCTCGGGCACGGCATCAAAGAAAGTCTTGGTCTTGATGCTCTTGCTGCCATCCTCGTTGACGGTGGTGTAGACCTCCTCATAGCCACCTTCGATGGCACGGGTCAACATGGTGGTTCTCTCATCAATGCGAATCTCCTTGTTCATGCGTTTCATAACGGTTTTCTTGGCCTCCATTTGTTTTTTCATCTCCTCTTCGGTCACCGGCTTGGGATCGTAGAAGGTCTGAGTGGAAGCCTTCCAGCCACCGCCAGGTTGGGGAGTGGTGGTCTTGACCTGATAGCCACCATCGATTTTGAAATATTCAACCTTGACGCCGGTCTTTTCGTCGTATTCAACTTTGCCGTGTTCAATATCAGCAGAGGTCAACATTTCTGTGAGTTGTGGTGTGTGATGGTGGGGTGTTGTAACAAAAACGGTGTGTGGTGAATTTGTGTGTTTTGGTGTTGTGTTGGGGAAGTCACCATTTATTTTCAAAGAGGGGAAACAAAGAAAAGTGTTGTGTGGTGAGTTTTTGGTACTACTTGAGGTGTATTTGTGCTCAGTGTTAGGGTTACAAAAGCATTTACAGCCTGTGCCGTTAATAGGAAAGCCATCTGATTTTTTCCATAATTTAACAAAAAAATTAAACTTATTTACATGCGTTACAAAAAAAATCGTTCGTATAATTAAAAAAATTAACTATTTAAAAAACAGTGTGAGTTTGTACTAAATATTAATTCGTTGCCTTCACATTTTTGGGTTAATCAGACATCCACAGCCTGTGGTGAAATTTCAATTCGTTGATGTCCATACTTTATGAAGATCATCGGCATGAAGCATCCGTAGAGCTTCAGCACTTTCAGTAATTGTTATTTAAATCGGTGTGAGGCCTTGGCCGACTTCGATTTCGGCTGTCCGGCCGATACTGCGGCCGCCGCAATTCGTTGTATATTTGCCGTTGTGGAAAAGCCATTTTGGTTATTGCCATTGTCATTAGTAGCAGTGGCAGCTGATTCCTCATCTGTTAGCAAATCAGGGTTAGAAAGCCATTGGGAAAATTGTAGTGGGAAAAATAGAAAGAAAAATTATCACAAGGATTAGTTTCAGCAGTTGTTAGAACATTGTGCGGTGGAATTAAAAACGGAATGATGTTTTGTGTGTGGTGTTTAGTGTTTGTTTTTGTAGGGGTGGTAGTGTATTGGTGAGCGGGTGGGTTGGTACAAATGCTGCAACAAACGAAAATTATTTTGGCATTTTAGTTTACTACAAACTATTAATGAAAAAAATGTTATTTTATATAAATTTATATATACAGTATAACATCACAATGTCAAAAAGTGCAATTTCAATAAGCATTGATAATAGAACCTTATTTGTCGGTACCGAATCTACTATTCACAATTTTTTGCATTTTTTCTTTTCTTTATTGGCTCAAAAAGGTGACGATACGTAAGAAGCTTGGCTCCGACGATAGCAGAATTCGAGTGCAACTCTCTCATTACTTTATAATGTGTCACTTAATGAGCTATGCTATAATGCCAAGCTGCTTAAGTTGATTAATACAATTTTACTCAAATGTATATTATGTTTGCAGGACTTTGGGTATTGGAAATGGTCCATGTAGGTCCAAGTCTTCGTATAGCCCCTATATAAAGGTACCTCCCGATATTCGCTATTCTGATGATTTTAGCGACATTATTCACCAGAATTGTTTCAAATTTGGTATTTGATATTCGTAATGGATGCTACAGCCTATGACAGAAAATTATCTGTGCAGGTCCATGTCTTCGTATAGCCGCCAAATAACGGTACCTCCCAATATTCGGTATTTTGATGATTTTAGCTACATTGTTTACCGATTTTATTTTTATGTTTTGCATTTAAATATTTTTAATTTTTTATTATATTTTAACATTTTTAATGGATTTTATTGTTGCCAAAGGCGTTCCAAATGGTGGAGGGTATTCAAAGTTCGGCCGGCCGAACTTACAGCTTTTTTACTTGTTAGTGTTTCCTCACAATTTTTACATGTTAGAAGAGTTTTCCTTTAAAAACTTCAATTCCAAAATTGGTTTGGCAGTTCATTGCCCCAGCAGTTGTGTCGATGCGACTACCTGTATTCTTCTACCATGATTTCACATTTCGTTATGAATCAGCTGTGATGAATGACGCGTGGTAGAAGAATATAGGTAGACGCATCAACGCTTGCGAACATTGATATGTCAAAATTTTAAAATTGTTTTGTCAAAAATAAGTAGACTTTTATATATTTTCTTATACGATGCAAATTGTTAGGAGGTTGTTACAATATGCATTTCTCAACAGTTTTTACAAATTTTTATAATTTTTCATTCAACATTTTCAATTCCAAAATCGGTTTGACAGTGCATTGTCCCAGCAGCTGTGTCGGAGCGACTACCTGTATTCTTCTACTATGGAATGACGCGTCAATTCTAACAGTGAGTTTACACACACAAATATTTGAAAAGTTTGGGCATGGAAGTGAATATGGAATCAATTTGAATTATGTTTCTGAAAGGAAATATGAGCATATCGTTCATTCATCGCAATTTTAAGACATTTTTAAAAATAAAAATAAATATCGAATATATAAGAAAACCTGATGCATTTCATTTCAAACAATTCTGACTAAAATTTCGAGCTTAAACTATAGCTGGAAATGTTCCCACACAGAGCAAATTTAACAGTCAATAAAAATTATGCTGAGTCAGAGAGAGGGAGAGAGAGACTTTGGCACAAACGACTGTTGTGGCAGTTCACAAACTTACCGAAGGGGCTGAGATCTTCAGACAGAAGGGGTGAGGCATATCCCCAGGAAGTCAAATTGGTGAAATTGCCGCCAGGTGAGGAGCTTGAAGAAAGGAATTAACCAATCAAGGTGGGCATGCGATGACGAAGTGGGGAAAATTCCTTTCTATGACACCAGTTGGAAGAAAGTTCTATGCTAGGGAAATGAGAATGTGTTGTCTCTGTCTGCAACACAAGTCAGACAAATATGCAATTTAAGACAGCATACGCCATTGCACGTGAACGAGGCTTTAGCGATAGAGAATAACAATTTTTTTAGTTATGAAAGGATGGCGGTTGAAGATGTTTAAAAAGAATGTAGAGAGTTTAAACGTAAACGCCAAAGAAATAGCTGTATGTTACGGAACTACGAGCAACGAACATGAAGCTTGAGTGTAGCCTGAAGGTTGCTGTAGATGCCAATGTTAGCCTTAAAGAGGGCTACCGGATGCCATCCGGTTAGTAATTGGAAGGACTTGAAGTAAACTCTCTGTTTCAACACTATTAACTTGGTGGCGTAGATTCAGTTGACATTTTCCAGATTTATACGGATCAAAGTCTTAACGCGGTTGCACTTCAAAATGCTGTGCCAATCAGTTCAAAGAAACTATTTCACGAAAGGAATGTTCGAAAGTATATCTAACTCTTTCGTACCCATTTTGCCATATTTTATATTGATACTATCAATAAAAGCAAAATTTATTCAAATAAAAAATTGCTAACATAAATCGTTTATTTTGTATTGAAGAACTGAATTGAAGATTTGTTTCACGAACTAAATGGTTTTAACTATCGTCTTTCACTTCTACATGGTCGTTCGAACTTTTCCCAAGAGTTTTCTTTATGCAAAAATGGATGAACATCGAAAATCCTTTGTCAGATCTCAGGGCTTTAAAAGGTTTCCATAGACAGAAGACTTTTGATAAGTAGAAGACCTTTCGAAAACTTTCCATAAATATATAGAAGACTTTATTTGACTTTTTATAGATAAAATACCTCTTCTACTTTCTATAGACAACATGAAACAGCTCTTTTACAGATTATATATCTTTAACAGATTTTCTATGGATCCCAGAGTTTTTTTTAAGTTTTTTTTTTTTTAACATAAAAAATCAAATATTAAATAATAAGTAGTTAAAGCAAAGAAAAAAGCAGTAGCTTCGGCCGGGGTGAACTTTGAATACCCTCTACCATCTGGAGGGAATTTGGAAATTAAAAAAAAAAATACATTGAAAAAATGCCGAATATAGGGAATTACCATTATATTGGGGTCTATACGAAGACATGGGCTTTCACAGGAAGTTTTCTGTCACCATTACGAGCTTTAAATACGAAATTTGAAACAATTCCGACCGCTAAAATCATAAAAATACCGAATTTAGAAAGGTACCGTTGTATGGGTGTGTGATATGCGAAGAAGTGGACCTGTATGGTAAAATTTCTGTTATAGCTTGCACTTCCCACTAGGAACATCAAATGCGAAATTTCAAACAATTCCGGTAAACAATGTCGCTAAAATCATCAAAATACCGAATATAGGGAGGTATCGTTATATGGGGGCTATACCAAAACTTAGACCTACATAGCCAATTTTCAATACCAAAAGTATTGTAGAACATACACACATCTGAGATAAATTTTATCAACCTACTTTAATTCGTTCGGAAGGTAGAGAGATTTGCACAGACAGACAAACGAACGGACGGACATCGCTAAATCGATATAGAATTTTATGTTGGTCAAGAAAACATATATATTCTTTGTGGGGTCTAAAATGTATAGTTCGAGGTGTTGCAAACTGAATGACAAACTTAATATACCCTCCATACTATGGTGGGGGGGATAAAAACTTACATGTAGGTAGTAATTAATCATTTACACAAAAAATAAAACGAAACAAAGTTTCTAAATTAAGAAGATCAAACCATATAATAATTAAACAAAAAATTTCATTGCTTTGTCATGTTTTTAAGTGTTTTTAATTAATTCAATATCAATTAAAAATATATCCAAAACCTAACCAAATTATGTTCTCTTCTTAGAACTTAGGATTTAACGAAAGTTTCGTTGATTTTAATGTTATCGGAATATTAATTTTGACAATAATACATTTTATAGTTACATTTCATGAGGACACCTGTGGGGCAAAGTAAAGACAAACGTAAAAATATGTATGCAAATTCATAGATTTTCAAGAATTTCAAGAAGAATTGTCACTGTTCAATTGTATTTTGTTTGGCCTTTATAATGAATTCAATATCAATTTATATGTCTCAAAAAATCCAACAAAACTATGTTCGAAGAACGATTTTGGTAATAATACACTATACACTCAAGTTCCAAACAAATGCACCGTTCCAGAACTTCCTAGAATATACTAGTTTCCCAATTCTTTTCGATATCATAATGGAAAAATCGGTCAATTATTAAATTTTGGCAGGTTCTGGAACGGGTCATTAATAAAACAGTAACACTGATGACACCTGTTGAATAGAGTAAAAAGAAAAAATTATAATTCACATTTACATAATATACACAAATTGATGACTCTCAAACGTAATCGATATATATGAATAAAAATTATTTTTTAATGAAATGAAATAAAACAAATAAACTACATTGAAAAGGGTTGATAATAAAAATTTTATTCATTCTGGTTTTCTGTGTTGTTTTTAAAATTTATACACAACTTTTGGCATATGAAACGTTCACACTATAAATTACAAAAAAAAAAAATAATAATAATAATAATTAAATCGAAATGACATTAAGACACGATGATGAGGCCATAACAGACACACACACGCACTCTCACAAAACGTGGTTCTCTCTTTCTCTACGATAATTACAACGCCACACAACAACTCAAGTTCTAAAGAAATGCAAATGCTTTTGTGATTTTGTGAAACGATTTGATTTTTTATTTCAATAAATTTTGTTATCGATAATTCGATGTTTCTCAATGGTTTTTGTATAAAAATAACTTAATGAGGGTCTTAAATTTCTATTTAAAAAAATTTGAGTTCAAATGTGGGGCTTTTCTATACAAATGCAGTTGGTTGTGTTGGTGGTGGGGGTGGGTAGTGGTGTATTGCATTGTTCTCTTTGATGAACTTGTGCAGAAATGAGTGGTTATCGATCATTATCGATAAGAATGAATTTACGCTTTGTGTGTGCAATTTATGGGGGAGATTCATCCACTCTATAGTTAAACTACATTGTAACAATGTAGGGGAGTGAGTGCAATGATTTTCTCCCCCGTGAGTTGTGGAAAATTTGATTTTCATTCATGGGTGCTGGGGTGAGTGAAATTATAAATGAGTTGTATGAATGCATTTGTGTTGGTGTGTGCTGTGTATGTGCGTTTTTTTTATTTTTTAATTTTTCTTTTAAGAGCTACCCGTTTTGTCATCATCTGCTGGCTTATTTTCCAGGGTCTGTGTTATTCTCTTCCAAATGTTATCGAAGGAATCACGGCCCATGTAATCAACTTGTCCAGATTCCCAGCATTGACGACGCATCAAATGCTCGTAGGCTTCTTGCTCGGGGGTGCGGGGTTCACCCAAACGTAGTTGTGACAAAGCACCAGCTAAACCGGCCTGTAAAATAGAGACAAAGTAAAAAATCGATTAATTTCTTTCCATTAACTGCGAAACTCAAACATTTAACACACAAATATCCCCAAGGCCCATTAGACTACTTGAATTTTGCAACCAGTTATCCGAAAAGGGGGGTTATTAAATAGCAGTCTATTTTGTTGTATAATATATAAATCGAAATAAATACAAAATAATCGATTTCATGTTACCTTAAAGGAAGATTACTATAGAATGTTGGTAGGTACATATGTAGGTATGTATGTATGTTTGTTTTTATGTAATTGGTAGGTAATTGGCAACTCTAAATAGGATGAACAACTCTAATCAACTAATCTATATGTAAATGCTATCAACACAACTATGATGGAATGTGAGATGTGAGAGTGGGTGAGTGAGTGAGAGAGATCGTTACAAGAGATGTTATGAAGATGAATTGGACGAAACACATGGCAATACAATACTGTGCAATCAAATGATAAAATCGATAAGTGACGATAAACTCCCAAAACAATACGCATGAGAAACAATGACCCAACGAGATTCCACAACCACACGGAGCGGACTAAACAACAATGCGGTTTTACAATATCGACATATTCATATCACTAAAAATGTTTGGCTAGGTAGACAACAGCACCACCATTACGATGATAACCCCACAATTTCGACGATGACAACGACAACAACAAAAAATGTTTACTATGTTGAGAAGGCGAAATGTAAATGCAAAACTCTCGATAAAATGATTTCGATGTTTGATATTTTTTAAAATAATTTAAAATAAAATTATACGACCAACACAAAATTTGAAGGAGAATTCTCGATATTAGGAATTTCGATAACTCCTAAGGTTAAAACAAATATATTTTTTAATTCTTCAAATTATAGATAACTTTTTTTGTTCCAAAAAAATTAATAAATATTTTTGAAACATTTCATAAATTCGATAATTTTTCAATGTTGAAAATATGAATTCCGATAAGACCTAAATTCTGTGATTATATATATTTTTTATTTAAATAAGCGAAATGTGAAACCTAATTTACTATATTTGGAATTTTGATAACTTATTACGAAAGTTTACGTAAAATAATAAATATCTTTAAACAATTCAAGTTATCGAATTTCTTAAAATCGTTATTTTTACTAATTGACTAATTTCATTTTTTAAGAAATTAATGAGTATAATTATGAAAAATATTGAAATTATCGAAAATGATAATTTTCATAACAGTCAATTTCGGCTTGCTGTTTCCTGTTTCCAAAACAATAAATACCCATTCTGTATTAAACAATTTTTGGAATTATTTAAATTATCGAAATTCGATTATTTCTCAATTATTTACTGATTTTCTTAAAAATTCGTGAGATTTCTATATTCTTATGAAATGTAGTAACCATTATGAGTACAATTATCGAAAATATTCAAATTATCGAAAATGTGAATTGTGAATGTGTTTCCACAACAATATATAATGGGTTATTTTGCATAGTTTTCGAAAACTGAAAAATATTTTTAAAAATTTTAAATTATCGAAATTATAAAACTTGATCATTTATTACGATTTGTTTTAAATTATTAGGATTTCGATATTCCTCATTATCAATAGTTTCAGAGATGGTCGAAAATGTGAAATTCGATAACAATCGATATATGTCAATTTTTTTAAATTTTTCCAAGTTTTGTTTTTAATTTAGATTTATCGAAAAATCTCCTTTTTCCCGATTTCAAGTGTTATCGAAAATTATTCGTAATACCATTTCTTTTTTTGGAATTTTGACTATTTTCTAAACAAACTGATCATCTATGAGAAATTTAGATATTTTAACAACTTTCTAAAAACATCCAAAAATTTTCGATAAGAGTTATCGAAAAGTTCAAATTGAGTTGTCAATGACTTTTTGAAGACATTAATTAAAGTTGTATTAGTCCTATAGTTTTTTTTTTTTTTTTTTTTTTTTTTAATAAAATGCTTCCCATTATAAAAATATCGATTTTTATCGAGATTATTATCTAGATTTGTGGAGGAATCGTTGACAATCTCCAACATTAAGTTCTTCAGCATTTCTGTAAAAACAATAAAAATGCCTTAGATATTTACAAAAATTTCGATTGAAATGAAAATAATGAAGTTGTGATTTTTGATAAGTGCTATCGAAGAGCTGAAATTGAGTTATCGGTAACTTTTTGGAGACGAAATCACAATTTTCAATATTACAAATTATTTTTAATAAAGAGAACTCTCCATTATGAAATCTCCATCGAGTGTTATCAAAATGCTTAATAATCATTTAATAATAATAATAATAAAAATGATTGATTTCTTATCGACTGTTATCGAAATTCGGTATTTGAAAAACTGACAAATAATTGACCGATTATTTAGGTTATCAAGTGTTATCGGAATTTCAAATTTAAATTTTTGGTATATGTAACCAAGATATATTTCTTTATGCGAAGCGAGTATTCCGAAATTGAGAGTTATTGAAAGTCGAAATTTGAGTTATCGAAAAAATTTCTACCAACAAAAAATACGTTGTTATTTCTTCAATCTTTCCAAATATTTCTTACGTATTTATCATATCTTTATGTTATAATTATATTTTATTATATCTCAAACAATTCGAATTATCGAGAGTTATCGAAATTGAAAGTTGTATTACGAATACATTTCTTTGAGTTTCAAAATATGTGTTCACTATTTTTTTCCGCACAGCACAACATTATTATGAAATATATAAAAGTTTGTAAAGATATTTTCATTATCGAATTTATATATATTTATCGAAATTCTTAATATGAATTATGAGAATATGTCTTGAAATGCAAATTTATCTCGGTATATTTTTAACAATTATCGAAATATTTTTTCATGTACAGTAAGTCAAGTTGTCGAATTATCTTTTTCGCGTTTAATTTTATTTATCGTAGTGAATTATTTCGATAAACTAAAAACTCTGGACAAAGTTTCAAAGATATAAATCTTCATAAATATTTCTATATGGGTACGATAGATATTTCTTGCAATAAAATGCTCAAAATATCAAAAAAAAAAAAATAATATATCATAAATATATCGAATGTTATCGAAATCAATTTAACGTGTTCTCTTTGCATTTACAACACTAAAATGGTGATGGGATATACTATTTGAATGCCCTCAACGGTTTTGCTACGGTTCAATGGTGGTGGTGGTGGTAGATGTGGGTACACTTGTTACCTCATGGTCTTTTAACTGATCGGCAGTGGAGTCTGCATTGTCACTTGATGTTGGTACTTGGGTACTTTCATTGACAGTATTATCGATATTCTTAATGTCATCGTTATCATTTGAATGCAATATGCAATTATTGTCTGATTCAGCCTCTCTGTTACACTGGCACTCTTCTGAGCTTGAGAATGCTTTATTCTCTTCATGGGAACTATACTCTTGTTCATGTTCTCTCTCCTCGTTCTCATTATGTTGTTGATTTTGTTCACAAAAGTCTTGATTATCTTCATGATAGTTGTGTTCTCTTTCTTCTTCTCTTTGTTCGCAATGAGCATCTGTATGCTCTTGATTAGGAACTATTTCAATGTGATAATGCTCTTTCTCTGGCTCTCTGTTGAAACTTTGATTTTCAGACTCATTTGACCAGTGATGCCTCTCTTCTTCATAGTCTCTTGTGGATTGTTCTTGTTCCTCCTGCCGTTCTTCATGATAGTGTGAATGAGAATTATTATCACTATAATGTTGATGCTGATAATGTGTATTATTTTCTGGTTCCGGGGTTATTATGAGTTGAGCCTCCTCTCGTCTCCTTTGCAACTCGGCCTCCCTTTCCTGTTTCCTATAGTAATCTTCCCAAGGATCATGAAATTTGATCTCAGCCTTGTTCTCATAAAATGTATCAATATGTTCTTTATATTGATTGTAGTTGTTGTTATATTCATGTTGCTGTTGTTCCTGTAGATATTGCATTTGTTGTTGATGTTGTTGGTATCTATAACTGTCATAGTTACTTTTCCAGGGTATTAGCGAGGGACATGTATATCTCTAAAAGTTTTTGGAGTTTTTGGTTTTTTGTGAAGTTGGACAATCGTGCCCCAAGGTGAATAAGAAGATGAAAACAAAATGTAATTTTGATAAATAGAAGAGAAAAATAATTTGTGAATAATAGAGGGAAGAGGACGAAAATAATAATTTAATAAAAACCAGAAAGAAAATTTGACGATATTGTTTTGAAAGTTCCTCACGTTTCCGGTAGTGAGAAATGCTTAGATATAGCAAGTTATAAAGAGTCGCTGACTTGTTTCGTTATGCCAAATAAAAGAATTGAAAATTGTGACCCTTTGTGCGTTAGGTGCCACAAGGGGTTCGCAGATATATATCATCTTCACATCTTCTTGAAGAGAGTTGGATGCTTATATCTCTTTCTTTTGAGCGTTTTTTTTTTTCAAAATTTTGAACCCTATGTGGGAGAGGTACCAGAAGTTATGGCCCGATCTCTACCATCTTTGTAACAGATCTTGTGTTGATGGAAATATTGAGATGAGCTAAATCTGAATGAGATCTGATGTTAATTTCGCGTTTTATGAGCTTCATAGATATTCAAAATGTTGACCCTTTGGGGAGAGAACCGGATGCTTATTTTGGATTTTATAATCGGTTTGGTTTCTCAAAACTTTGACCCTTTATGGGGTAGGTACCAGAAGGAATGGTCCGATTTCTACCATCTTTATAACAGATCTTGTGTTGATGAAAATATAGCTAAATCTGAATGAGATCTGATGTTAATTTCGGGTTTTATGAGCTTCATGGATATTCAAAATTTTGACCCATTATGGGGGAACACCAGAAGGAGTGGACCTATATATCCCATCTTCACAGCAGACCTTGAGTTAGTAGAAATATTGGGATGTGTGAAAAAATGAAGAGAACCGGAAGCTTATTTCGGATTTTATGATCGTTTTGGTTATTCAAAACTTTGGCCCTTAGTGGGGAAGGTACCAGAAAGAATGGTCCTATCTCTACCATCTTTTTAACAGATCTTGTGTTGATGAAAATATTGAGATGAGCTAAATCTGAATTAAATCGGATGTTAATTGCGCGTTATATGAGCTTCATGGATAATTAAAATTTTGACCTTTTGGGGGGAGGTACTAGAAGGAGTGGGTCGATGTATCCTATCTTTACAGCAGACCTTGAGTTGATAGAAATATTTGGATGTGTAAAAAATGAAGAGAACCGGATGCTCATTTCGGATTTTATAATCGTTTTGGTTAATTAAAACGTTGACCCTTTGTGTGGGAGGTACCTGAAGGAATGGTCCGATCTCTACCGTCTTTATAACAGATCTCGTGTCGGTGGAAATATTGAGATGTGCCAAATCTGAATGAGATCGAATGTTAATTTTTTGTTGTATGAGCATCATCGTTATTCAAAATTTTGACCCTTTGTGGGGGAGGTATCAGAAGGAATGTTCCGATATCTTCCATTTTTATAACAGATCTTGTGTTGATGGAAATATTGAGATGTGCCAAGTCGGAGTGAAATAGGTTGTTAATTTCTCGTTGTATGAGCTTCATGAATATTCAATATTTGGACCTCTGTTGCGGAGGTACCAGAAAGAGTGGACCGATATTGTCCATTTTTACATCAGACCTTGGGTTAATAAAAATATTGTGATGTGTGTAATTTGAAGACAATCGAACTCTTACATAACATTCTATAAATGTTATAATTTTTCCAAATTTCGACCCTTTTGTGGGGGAGGTGCTTGATGGAGTTGACCGATATTGTCCATTTTCGTACCTGACCTAGTACTGACGCAAATATTGGAATTTGCAAAGTTGAAGCAAATTCGGAAAATCCTTTCACTTTCTGTGCAGTGGACCGATATTGCCCATCTCCGAACACGATATAAGTTTGATAATAATATTACGATGTACGAAGTTTGGACCAAATCGGATACTCCCTTCGAGAGTTATCGATCGTATCAGGAAGACAGACGGATGGACGGACATCACTAGACCGACTCCAAATGTCCTGAAACGGATTTGGTCCAAAGAGACCTGAGGTCTAAAACCGTTTTTTCGATGGGGCACGTTTTGACCGTATCAAATGGCTGAGGGTATAAAAATCCACGATTATTTGGTTGAAAATGTTGTTTGAAAGTTATTTCAAAAACTTCCCATTTCATTTAATGTCGTCTGCCTTAAGTGCCGAAAATCGCACACTTATGGAAAATTACAAAAAAAAAATGTCATGTTGACATGTTTATGCCACGTTCACACCAACCATTACTTCTCATTTCTCGCCTAATGAAATATAATATTCAAACATAAATCTGTTTATGTTCCAATTTTTATTCTTAAATTCCAAATAAAAATTGAAATAAAATAATTCCATACAAAAATAGTTCAACCACGGCAAAGGACCAACAAACATTTGCCAACAATTTCTGTTAAGAATGGACACATTGTGGCCATCTCTTGAAATGATGCAGAGACATTAAAATGTTTTTGTTCTTTTCGAAATGATATATAGAGAAAAGAAAAAAACAAAAAGCCTTCTTAAAATTGGCCCAGGGCCAAATTTAAGCCAATTTTCAAAAAAGAAAAGAAAATTTTGCAAAGAAAATCATTTGGCAAAAAATAGAAGATCATCGTTCCAAATAGCTTCATTGATGCGTCAATGATTTGGGTGTGGCCACTAAGCCAAAAAAAAAACAGAAGCAACTAAAAGATAAACAGCTACAATGTTTGGCGAACTCAAAAAAAAAAACTGAGAGAAAAATGCACTAAAAAGAGAAATCATTTAAACTAAGAAAAGGTAAATAATTCATGTTGCCACTAATTAAACAAAAAAAATTTAATTTAGAAGCAAATAAAAGAAACTCTTGAAAGAGGTATACCAAATTATAATTTTTGACAGAATGGTGGAGACACAGAATGGAGAATGTGAACCTGATATTTTTTGCAACAACAAAAATGTGTGCGCCCCACATTTATTTGGTGCTGTAACGGAAAATTTGCCGGTGCATTTGTTTGAAATTGTGCTCCACATTTAGGGCAGACATCGTTCGTCTGCTGTCTTACCTCTTCTTCATTTGTGTTTTTATTTTCTTTATCTTCTATTTTAGTTTTATCCTCCTCCTCCTCCTCCTCCGTGACTTCTGTAAGAAGTGTCAGCTTGTGAAGGGCAAACAAATTACAAAGTTTTCAAAATATTAATACAACGTTAGGAGTGTATTGAAAGGAAAATTGTAAAACATCTAACCAAAAATACGCTCAGAAGTAAAGAAGAATAAAAAACTAAACTCAAAATTAAAGGGAATCAAAAAACTTCATTAAAACTCAAAAAAACCGAAATAAATGCTAATGTCAGGTTTAAAATAAAACGTATGTTACATTGTTCCCAAAATGGACTAGTTCCAAGGAAATATTTTTTGAAAGAAAAAAATTAACTAGTTCCTTTAGTTCACATAGGCAATTTTTCTTACCAGTTTCCTCAGTCACAAAATCCATGAAGGGAATAAATAGTTTTACCACAAACGATTCGTGCTAGTTTCAAACCGATAAACTATTATAAATTGCATAGAAACGAGTTGCTCTTGTGGATAGAAAGGAATAATATCAATATCAGTTTAGTGAACCAGAATGTTCAGGTTTATCATTTAGCGCCTCTACATTTAGCAGTTATATTCTTCAGCAATATCAATAGAATTAATGCTAGGCCCAAAGGAAAGAACTTATAAAAATTGCATATAAATTGGACAGTACACCCTCCCTGTACATCGAGAACGATCGAATAAAAAGAACAAACTCATTTGGAAGTATGCATCCATAAATACATATAAAGGTGTCAACGAAATGAACCAAAGGAACTAGTTACTTTTTAAGGGTTAGAACGAGAAACATTAGTACATTAAGTAAACAAGATTGTTCGAATTTATTGTTAGAACCTATTTTTTATAGGTTCTATATTTAACTGAACCCACTTTCATCGATGTTTGTGCCAAGATGCTGATCTGGTAAAATGAGCATATCAACTATGCATGTATCATGGTAGAAGAATACAGGTAGGTGCATTAACGCTTGGGAACATTGATATGTCAAAAAATTTTAAATGTCTTTTCAAATATAAGTAGATTTTTAAATGTTTTCTTATACTACGTCATTCGGAGGCCATTATAATTCGCGTTTTTCAAAAATTGTTACAAATTTAAATAATTTTTATTCAACATTTTCAATTCCAAGATTGGTTTGACAGTTCATTATCCCAGCAGCTGTGTACATGCGTCTACCTATATTCTTCTACCACGGCATGTATAGATACATATGAGAGAGTGAACTAAATGAACCAAGGGAACTAGTTACTTTCTAAGTATAGAAACGATAAAGATCTATCTAGTTAGTGAACAAAATTGTTCGAATTTATTGCTTAGCAACTGCTTCATGGTTAAATTAAGGAGGTAAAGACATTGCAAATAAACATACCCATCTCTGCATTTTCTGCAATTTACCTAGTCAAATTTCACCGCAAAAAATAGGTTTGCATATCTGATTTGTGTATTTACAACGGATTTATAAAAATATAATTTGACAATGAGATTTTGTCAAAAAAAAAAGAAAAATCATAAAAATATGATTGCAAGACTTTACTGTCCTGATTCTACCCTGAGATGTTTATTTAAAAGTTTATGTTTCATTGAACCAACTTTTCTCGATCTCACGCTGGACCAAAACGAAGGACTAGTAAAATCAGCATATTAACAGGACATTGAATCTGAATGAAATGTGATCTGTAATTATTAAACTACAAACTGTCCTCAAACCACTTAGAACTATCGATGCAAAAATACATTAGTAGGACTGAACTAAATGAGCCGCAGGAACTAGTTACATTTTATTGATAGGAATGAGACAAATCAATTTCTTTAGTAAAACAAATTGTTCAACTTTAGCGCTAAGCACCTCTACATTGACAGCTTGTTTACACATCATGTTAGAGTCATATATAATATAACAACATACTTTTAGGGGCTCTCCACAATTTTAAAACAACAAAAAAAAATTACGAGATAAACATATGAAAGGTTTTTGTGTTTTGTTAACCCTAACTAATAGGCATTTTTATTTTACTGGATTTATTAAAAAAATATAAATAATTCCTCATAAAAGATGTTAAGCCGGCAACGAGCTCTCATGTAAACACACTATAAGATAAGTTCCTAAAGCTTTCCAACAACCATTAAAAAAAACAGAAGAAAAAACATAACCACAAAGTTAAGTAAATTTCCAAAAAGAAGAACCCAAGCGGAAAAGAAAATAAATATTGAAATAAATCAAAACCCCAAACAAAATCTTAAAAAAAAATCTTAATTTCAATTTAAAACTCATAAAAATGTAAAAACAAATTTCTCAACACTTACCATATTTGTATTCAATTGAGCATGAACATGATCGAAGAAAATGTTCCACCACATTTGGATCAAATCGTTGGCATGACTATAATCCGTTGGTACGCTGGCCACCTTCGACTGGGAATTGTAGTGCATCAACCAGGGTTTCATTTTACCGGCGAAATGCAAAATCTTAATTTTATCTCTGAACTGTTTGAAGGCAGGCAAATAGCAGTACGAGGCATAGGCGGTGACATTGTACAGGAACGGCAAACGTTTCTTAATATCACTTGTGGCCCAATCGGCAAAGTACTGATTCAGCAGACCCTGATCACCGCCATCAAAACTGCCATTTTTCAGGGCGAATTCAACGATTTTGTCATATGTCGTTTGGCTGGGCTGGAACACAAAGACACCCGAATTGAAACAGTCAGGCCAACTTACATCGGGGGCGGCGGAGAATTCTTCGCGTTCGAATAGCTCATCACAATTTTGTAGGACCTAAAAAGAAGAGAGAGAGAGAAAAATAACATTTCCAAAATAATTTTCCGGTTTGTGTTGGTCTTACCAAGGTATCCGAATCCAGGAAGACACACTTCTCGAACTGCACCAAACGCCAACAGTGTAATTTGGTAAAGGTAATACCCAATTCGGGCCGTGACAACAGAGCCAAATTGGCCGCGTCTTGTGAGTCCATAATATTGACTTCTTGTACAACATTATACACGTCTTTTAGCTTTTCGCGCATTGACTCTGAAACTCCGGGTGTTACCAATACGGCCAACTGGTGGACGGTGCCGGCCCTTCTTAGAGAATGGGCCAACACTAAGGCACCCAATGAATAGGTATCATTTGTGGTTAATGTTACCCAAGCAAATTCTGTAAACGAAAAAAAATTGAAAATTAATTTTAATTTTGAAAATTTCTAAGTTTTGTTTTCACATTTTAGGTCTCTTTGGCCCTCATGCATTTGCCTTCGAAGCATTTTTGTTTTGTTTATTTTTCCTCCTCTTCTGTCTTATTGCTTTGGCAGCCTTTGCAGGAAATTTTGCATATTTATATGTACATTGTTTTGTTTAATTTTTCATAAACTTATTAACAAAATTTATTAAGCATGTCAAGGTATGGCGGTGTTATAATTAGCTGTTTATTTGCTTGCTGAAATTAATAGCAGGTTTTTGTTGTTATTTTTTTGTTTGATATTAAATTGGGGAAAATAAATTTAAAATTTTTGTTTGAGTAAATATTTATATTATCGTTGTACTTATTAAAATGGAGAATGGTGTTAATGGGATGCTCTCTGAGAGATTTATGCAGATATTGCTGTTGAAGATTATTTTTCTGTTAAAAAGTATTTAAATTCAGAACACGGAGCATATTCCGGAGAAAATGACCCGAAATAAGTCCAGCCAGAAAATATTAAGATCTCCATTACTACAATTTAGTTTTCATTTTTGTTCACTTGCAGGAACGCTCTAAAAGCGAATCTAGTTCATAGTTTAATATCCACATTTGTTCATGAATAGTTACCCGCCTCATGGTAAAAATAAGAAGTTAAATTAATTTCAAATAAGAATTCCCAGCTTTGAATTTTCTGTATTTTACCTTGTCAAATTTCACTGCATATAAAGCAGGTTCCCATCTCTGATTTGTGTATATGCAATGGATTTATAAATAAACATTTTGATAATAAGATGTTGTCAAATAAATAATTGTGAAAAAAAGTAAAAATATGTTTGCACGACTTTACCTTCTTAGTTCTACCATGGACTCACAAAATTATAAACTGGAATTAAGAATAAATTGTTCAACTAGTTCGTTCATTCCATTTAGTTCATGTGCCTCATTTGATAAATAAATATCAACTTTTAATTCAATTTAATTAATTTTTTAAAATTAAAGTTCAAAAGAACAAATAAAAAAACATATGACAACAAAACAAGATAAACCAAAGAACTGGAACTAGTTCATATGGTTTCCTTCATCGAACCAGTTCACTAGTTCAATAACATCAACAGCAAAATTGTACTTAGTATCTTGCACTGAGTGGATTTTCTCTCTGTATTCAGGAAGAAAACAGTTGTGAATATATGCACGTTAAGCCGTTGAGAAAATCGAAAAATATTGCAATTTGTCGGAAACAAATAGTTATTTAATGGTATAACACTATGTTGAATGATTATTATCTGAAATCCAAGTAAAATAACAAACTTGTGCCTGAAATTGTTTAATATTTTAATCAGCTGATGATACGCAGTATGTATGAAAATACTCAGTAACACAACTGTCAAAAATTGATCATTCATTGGCTCTTATCTACAATGCTTTGGGGTAAATTTGAAAAACTCCAATTCGAGTGATTTCGTGCTGAAAATACAACACTGTTGCCACTTGCAGCTGTATTTACACGTTTCTTCCAAACAAAAATTGCAAAACTGTTGGACTTTCAAACCGAAGTCACGATTTACGCTAAGATCGGCTTTAGTCTTTATTAAAAAGCAAGAAAAAAAACTTTCATAGTAGAAGAATACAGGTAGTCGCATCTACACAGCTGCTGGGACAAATTGGAATTGAAATTATTGAATGAAAAATTATTCAAATTTGTAAAAATTGTTTAAAAATGCACATCTTAACATCCTCTGCAAGCCTGCATAAGAAAAAATATAAAAAATTGGCACATCAATGTTCCTGTACTCGTCTACCATGGTAACGAACAACAGATTTTGAAATTGAAAATTTTGAAAGAAAAATTATTCAAATTTGTAAAAATTGTTGAAAAATGCAATTTTTTCAGATTGATGTGGAATAAGAAAACTTATAAAAATCTACTCATTTTTGAAAAAAAAAAAAACATCTTAAAATTTTTGACATATCAATGTTCTCAAGCGTTGATGCATCTACCTGTATTCTTCTACCATGGATAACTACGGACAATAATAGTATGTTTACATCAGAGCTTTCTATTGGGAAACTTCGTTTATGAGGATTTTCTTTCAATTGAATTTGCAATTTATATACACTGGATTTACTATATCCGCTAAAATTGTTTAGTTTTATTAAACTTAAGACATGTGGAGATGCTAATTTGGGTGTTTTAGTACATAAGTTATTTAATTGAGACAAATGTTTATTTTACACTACCCATAAATTATCTAGAATTTAACAAAAAAAAAAACTTTAATTTATTTTAAATGGAAAATAAAGCATTTCACATCTATTTGAAAATATTTCTTTCCAAAAAAATGGCACAAGATATAAATATTTATGGTTATTTCACATTTAATTTTTCATTTTGTTTACACACACAATATATACATATTTTTAAGTATATGTATCCCCTTTTATATAATTAGTTTCCATATTAATTCGCGTGTTTCTTTAAAATAAACAATTAATAATTTTAAATATAGCAGCAAAAATCTTTCAGATGTTTTTCAGATCCACTTGATTTTTGAACATAACAAATAGCAAATTGTACAATACGAATATTTTTCTATAGACACGCCTTCGCAAATGTTTCCGATCTCCCACATGAATTTGATGCTGAGGAATCATACTAATTTAACTAAATCGTGATTTAGTTAAAAATCAGCTGTTCCTATTCTACCTCGAGACAATATCTCTTTTTTTCGCAGAAGTTGAAAAGTGTGTTTTCTCTAAGCAGAAAAATTATACTTTCTTTCGTATGAGGTTGAGGAGGGTCTTAAATTCACTGAAAATTTCATTTTCCCATAGAAGACCTTTATTATGGCACACATTAGGACAACAAAATACAAGAAGAAACTGTTTTCACAAAAAAAAACTGAAGGATGTCTTCTCAAATAAAAGTAGATTTACATATAAAATCTCTAGCCTGATAGTTGACTATATAAAACATACATTCATTTAATTATTTTTGGGAGGAAACCAAGGCCTATCAATAAGATCAGCTTAGCCGCGTTGCCAAATGTCTGTAATTGTGAATTTTTCTGCTATGTGAAGGAATGAACTAAATTGAACGAATAAACTAGTTCCCTTTAAAGATTAAGAGTGAGAAAATCAATCCGTTTAGTGAACAATATAGTTCAACTTTGCTCTTTTCTAAAGCCTACTATTTTTTGCAATTTTTTCCGTAACCATAAAAGGAAAATCGGTTATCGTAGTAAAAACTCTTACGTTTTTGCAGTTCTGGAAAAGACCATTTGTCATTCGTCATTCACAGGCCTATTAAGCAATTCGGGCCATTTGAATAAAACACTAGGATTGTGAGTGAAAAGCCTTGGTTCTGTCAAAATTGTAATTCAAAATTGCATACATTTTGTCAATGCGGGTAAAAACACCTGGTTTTATCGGATAGTCTATGGTCATTCACATAAGCCTTTTGAGGCCATAGCAGAAGGCATGCGTTAAACCTAAGATGGCTCAAAGCGCGCATTCTGTTTAGTCCCTTTTGTAACATCGTCATTTCAGTCTTTTGTCTTATTACTTCTTTGTTCCAGTACCTGCAAGAATCTACTAATTTTCCATTTTTTTCGATACACCGTTCCAATATCTGCAAAATTAGAATTGCAGTCGGAATGAAGTGAACCATGGTAGAAGAATACAGGTAGTCGCATTGGCACAGCTGCTGGGACAATGAACTGTCAAACCAATTTCGAAATTTAAAATTTTGAATGAAAAATTATTGAAATTTGTAGAAATTGTTGAAAAATGCATATCATAAGAACACACGATTTGTGTCGTATAAGAAAACATAGAAAAATCTTCTTATTTATGTCAAAACATTTTAAAATTGTTGACATGTGAATGTGGAAGAGAACGCACTCAAATATGGAGTTCTCTTTTACTACATTCAACATATAAATTTGGCCGTGTAAAAAATAGTAACCAGCTTCTGATTGGGTGATATGTTGATTTTGAAGCGTTGCCACCTAGTTTTAACATTTGAGTTGTTAGCTGTTCGTTCTCATACTTTTTGTGCAAAGCCATTCCCTCAGAGCAAATCTAAGAATTCATTCTTTAATAAAAGGTAAGGTAGAGCTACCAATTTTTTCTTAATTGTGCCCGACTTTTGCCAATTTTGTGTATATATTTATTGTTTTGAAAAATGAAAACAAAATATTTTCAAAACTAATGATTGAAAGACAAGTAGATTGCGGTTCCGCATTAAAGCTATTAACCAGTTTAGCCATGAAAATGACAGATTGAACAGTTTGGATCATATTTTTTAACGAAAATCCAGGCATTTCATTCATTTTTCGCGCCAATCAACTCATTATAAAAATGAGGAAAATATGAAAAAAATGTAGAATACAATTTTAAATGAGTCTGACAGGAAGCGGGCATTGTCTCAGGGCTGTATTTCTGTAGTTTCACGAAGCTGTTCTACCTCCTCATTGTACCATAGCTTTACCCTTAAATTTATTCCTAAAATATTAAATTTATTCCTAAATATTATCTCAGTTTAAGATTTTATAAAGGACTGCTATGTTGGAAGGTCTATAAATTTCAATTTTTAATATATTTCAAATCTGTGGAGATTGTGTAAATATAAAAACAATGACTCAGTAATTTTATACATAGAAGCCCTCCTTCGAATCTTCAATACATGGACTATTCAGGTCTTCATACAAACATTTATATTTGTTAGGCCTAAGTGTTATTTAAATATATTAATAATAGTATTTCTTTGAGGACTTTCTTTATGGCTTCTATTTTTAAATCCTTAAAAATTTTACTACTTATAGTACGTTTACATTAGAGTTTCTCGCAGGCTTAACCCACTTTAACAACAAAAATCCACAGATTTTTCAAAATCCAGTACAATGTAAACGTACAAATAGCCCACATTTTGTTGGTTAATGAAAGTTTTTGTTATTTGTTAATTTGTTGATCACAATGTTCATAAAATGTTGAGGGGGTTTAAAAGTGTCTAAAAAACTTTACAAAACTTCTATACTTTTTTTAAATTATGTGAAAAAGCAGCATTAATAATTCCAGATTAATAAAACCAAATAAGTATTAAAAAATTCTTGTAAATACAATGTCAATTTTTTTTATTAAATGTTTACATTACCAATATTATTATATACAATAGTAATTTGTCAATAAAATATTATCGATTTGTTGATTGGTAGATTTATGGTTGATTAGTTGGGTATTAGATGGTAGAGAGAGAGAGAGAGCACAACAATCAGTTTTCAGTGATGTTTCATTAGCGGTTTTTGTTTTGTCCAAAATCACAATACTAACGAACAACAAACACAAAAAAGAATAAGGGATTAAAATATTTTTTTTAGAAAATAAATAATTAAATAATAAAAGAAGCAAACTTAAAAAATTAGGCCAAAAACATTTCAAACGATACTTTAAATTTTGAACAGAGGGCAGTTGGGGGGAAATCAATAACACAAAAGGGAAACAATAACTACCTGTGTGTCAAAGGATGCGAAAGGGAATTGCTGGTTGACGTTTGATGCAATGCAAGTGTTCGTGTGCGTATGTGTGAGCAGCTACGAGAATCCATGTGAGCCGGCATTATTAAACTCCCCCGATGATTTGCCAAATATATCGATTTTTAGTACTCAAACTAATATTGTTATCGGCATATGATAAGGCAGTGTCGTTTAGATGATGGTTGATGGCTTGGCGAAGGGCTATTCAGTGTGGTCGATAAAAGGGTGCCGATAATAGTGTACATATAAATAGGGCTGCCTGTTGGAACATTGTTTTATATACAAACTCACAGAGTTGCCCCATTTTGATTTAAATGCCGTTTTCTGTCTTCTTTTCTAATAAGACATTTTTTAAGACTTTTCTATGCACTTATGAGTGGGTGTTTGGCCTTTGTTTTACATATGTCATGCAAATCACTCTGGTGCTATATGCTCGTGACGAATGTATTTTATTTTCTTTTTTCATTTTATGATCTTTATTTCAACCTAAAATAAAAATTATTCATTTACTAAAATGCCATGGATGAGTGTTTAAATTTTCTTTTCGAACTTACCAGAATGCATAAACAAAATTTCGTTTCACTCAAATGAAAAACCAAAAACAAAATAAGAATGATGCGGTGAAATTTTGAAAATTTCACAACTTTTTTTCTTTTTCGATTTTTTTCTTCTACTTTATTTTTTTGTTTTTTTTTTTCCTTTTTTTTAATGATGCATATAATAAATGCCTTTCAACTCGGTGGCATCTAAATCTTTCTAATACGCAAAACAACAGATGTCCCCCAGAGAATTTGATGTGGGGGAACAATTTTAGAAAAATAAAACAAAACTAAAACATTTTGAAAAGAAGAAAATCAAATACGTATTTAAACGATTTTAACACTTAATCACGGCGGGTGACACAACGTTTTTTGTCGGCAATTTTTCATTGTATTTTCCGTTCTTCTATTCTTTTGGTACTAAAAATAGTCAATTTTGAAATTGATTTGTTTTTGGGTTCGGTTTTTTTTGTCATCGAAAAGAAAGTGTTTTCACTTGGTGAATTGACACTTTTCCTCGAGAACGTGTACACACTTAATCAATGACATGTGTGTTTAATCATGTAGTAAATTAATTGATCATAATTAATTGAATGAGAAAAGATACAGCTCGTTTGGGAAATTAAATTGCAACAATATTTTGGATTGGAAATCAAAATATTATTTTCGCTTAATTATTAAATTTTAATAGTTTTTAAGGGTCAAAAGTTTTTTAAAGGTCTATAAACAGGTCACTCACAATGTCACAATGTCGGTCCACTACATCAAGTACCTCCACCACAAAGAATCAAAATTTTGAATAATTATAACTCTTATAAAATGTGATGTGAGAGTCCGATTGTCTTCAAATTATATACCTTACAATATTTGTATTAATCCAAAGTCTGGTGTGAGGATGGTGTATATCGGTGCACTCCTTCTGGAACCTCCTTAACAAAGGGTCAAAATTTTGAATAATAATGAAGCTCGTAAAAAGCGAAATGAGCATCCGATTCTCAATACTTCTACTTAAGCAAGATCTCGTTGGAAGATGGTAGATATAGGACAACTCCTTCTGGTACCTCCCCCACAAAGGGTCAAAACTTTGAATAATTAAAACTTTTATAAAATTTTAACTAAGAGTCCGATTATCTTAAAATTTCGCACATTTCAATATTTCCACTAGCACAAAATGTGTTCAGAAGATGGACAATTTCGGACTACCCCTGCTGGTAGCTCCTCCACAACGAGTTCGAATTTTAAATAATTATAACTCTCATAAAACGCGAACTTTTTCGAAATATTATAAAATACCTAATTTAAAGTGAAGCAAGTACAACAAGGGAACTGCTTAGGATTGGTGGCCCTTTCCGAAACCTATGTATTCTCTGCCTTACCCCCTGGTAAATATTACCACCATTCTCCATTAATAAACAAATGTTGTTTTTATAAAAACAACAATAAAGGGATTAAGTCTGACCATTTTGCAACAACAAAACACTATGGTATCCCGAACAAACAAGCCAACGCTGTTCTGTAAAGCAAGTACTTTATATAAAATCTAAATATGATTCGTTTTAATATTTTTATCAGACTTATGTCAGACACGAAATGGAAAATATTGGCAACTGATTCCATTTAACTTTTTAAATAATACATTTGACAACATCTAATTATATATCGCTCGAAATTCTTAAATGTATTCGCCATTATCGTTCAAATATTAAATTTATTTATAGGTAAATTTGAAGTAATTTTTAAATGCATCCGCTGGCTTTTTACTAAAAGAACCAGAGCACAGATTTACTCATTTTCAGCTGGGAGAGAAACTTGCTCGCCAGCAGGATTGCTGAAAGAGTTGGAATTCGAGTAAGATTCACTCATTGTATAAATTCGAGCGAGTTTTTCGTAGGTCTGCAAGGAACAAAAAATATTATGGACAAAATTTAACTACGAAAAAACCAGCTGATGATTTATACCAGGAAAACAATCCTTTGATGTATTTTCACTCTGAGAGCACTAAAAATATATATTTAAGGGATAGAATTTTTACCAAAATTCAAACTAAATCGAGTTAGAAATTAATGACAAATTTTATTCATAAAAAAAAAAATTAAATGCTACAATTATTCGGAAACAAAATGTATTTCTCTCACTAATCCAATAAACACATGCTAGAATTAGGAAGGTAAAGTCAAAATTATTAATTTGACAACATCTCATTGTCAAAATTTATATTTATAAAGCCATTGTATACACAGAAATGTTTTTTATTCAGTGATTTTGACAAGGTGAATTACAGAGAAGGCAGAGATGGTAATTCTTAATTTTCCCATGCATAAACAGTTAAATTCCCTTTTTACGTTATCCTGGTATAAACATCTTATTTTTCCAAAATTCCATGTAATATCCATTTCCTAGTTGTATTTATCTTGCTTTGGCAACCCTGTTCAATAAAATAACGGCTACAGGCCAAAAACAACTCGAGTTCATGGTTAGTTTCCCACACCAAACTGTTTTACCGGTCATTTACATCTTCCTCTCTCTCTCACACTCATTGTATTTATTTTACGCTCATCTTCAATTGAAGAGTTAAAGAATGAATTAAAAAACGCCGTTTTATCGGCAATCCATTTAAAAAAACTTAACAATGTGTCACCCGGTTTTTGCTCAGTAGCCGTTTGATGTATTGAAACACATGCCACCCATTTGTGTCATGGAAATTTATATTCGCCAGAAAACTCTTGTCTACAATATTTTCTTTTTCCTCTCTTAAAAATAACCAACAATATCTTCTAAACAAACGCAATGAGGCTATAATGATTCTGTTGAAAATCCATTGTGCTTAAGACATTCTATGCCAAAATAAACATTATCAATTATAAAATTGTTCAAACAGAACGCCTCCATACTGCGAGCTGCACAGAGTAGTCAGTGGTCAGCAGTCAGTCAGTCGGTTGGTTGGTTGGCTGTTTGCTACAAATGTATTATGTCAAAATAATATTGCCTATATTTATTTGGGGAATAAGATTTATGAAAAACAGATTTTGGCAATGACACCAAAAAGAATGACAGCAACATTTGGAACGAATTTTCAAAGTAATTTATAATTAAACAATAATAATGGCGATATTGTTTAGAATTTGGATTTTGGGTCCAGGGACATTTTCGTATGCTGGCTAAACAAAGGAAGATTAACTGTGGGACTTATAATATCTAGCAGCAGCGATTAAGATAAAAATGTCTCCGTCAAATTTAGTGAAAATCTATTCAGAATTAGATATGCCTCCCATATATTAGTTGCCTCTGAAACCAAACTATAACTACTCTAAAGCCAAATGTTGATAGGCGGTATGGTCTACTTCAAACTAATTCTTTTGTTAGGGGAACTCTACTGGATATGCATAGTGGTGTAGGCATGGTAGAAAAATTCAGGTAGATGCATCAACGCTTGGGAGCATTGATATATCAACAATTTTTAAATTTCTTTTAAAATATAAGTAGATTTTTATATGTTTTCTTATACGACGTCATTCTGAGGTTATTTTAATATGCATTTTTCAACAATTTTTACAAATTTAAATAATTTTTCATTCAGCATTTAAAATTCCAAAATTGGTTTGACAGTTCATTGTCCCAGCAGCTGCGTCGATGCGTCTACCTATATTCTTCTACCATGGGTGTAGGGTATCATATAGTCGACTTGGCCCGACTTTTGACTTTTCCTTAGTGGTTAATTTTTAAATTAATTATATACTTAATATTTACTTATGTATTTAACTTCGTCCCCATTATGAATTGCCTTACAAAAAATCTGTCCTCCATATTATCCTCAACTCCACCAATCACATGGTGAAATCATGCAACAGTGAATCCAGTGACAACAGCAAAAAGCCGCCACATTTTTATGTGGGCAAAAATGCATTTCCCGAAAACCTTTGGATGGGCTCCTTTTGCACTTGGCTACTTTTTTTGTACTTCGTCGTCGTATCCGCCATTCATGCCTATCACTTTTGCAAGAATGCACTTCAAATTGGTTGGCTTGACTTCGAGAGTCTTCTGATACTAAAAACATGTGGAAGCAACATTTTTCTTCAATTCTATATTTAGAACCGGAAAATAATTCTTGGTAAGAGGCAGCATTGTTGTCGTTAACGCCTCTTGACTTTTTTGTTGTTGTGTTTTTTCTTTTCCCTCGCATTGCTTTTAGTTTGCAGTGTGAATGGATGGATAAAATGCTGTTGAAAAACGAAAATGAAGAATTCGAAATCTTGAAAAAAGTAACAGATTGCGTAGGCCTATGGGGAATGGAGCAGCATCATATTTTTGTAATTTCATATTTTTTTCTCAGATGACTAATGGAGATTTTTTCCAAAGGAATTTCATTTGTATGTCTTATGCACAAATTGGGTTTGTATATATATATATGTATGTCCATATATTTATGCACATTAAAAATATGATAAATAAGATCATATGTGCGTGTAAATCTGTATGCATCCCTGTGTGTAAATGGTGATATAAAATTAGTATTGCATTTTTTATGAGGCCTATAAAAATAATTCACAGTGGGTGATGAAAACACCATAGTACATATCATGGTACAATTTTCAAGGTAATCTCATGTAATCATACCATTACAAATTTTTATTTTAATGTCTATCTATTGTCAAATTTATATTTTTTAGTTCTTCCTTAAATATGGACGTACAACTGGCAAGAAATATACATTCATTTCCGTTGTTGTTTTTATGGCATAAAAGTAAAGGAGGAATCATGGTACAATGAAATAAAGGTAACCGCATTTCAAATTAGCACTCCCAGCTCTGCATTTTCTGTAATTTACCTTGTCAAATTTCAATGCATAAAAAAGAGTTCCCATCTCTGATTTTGTGTTTATACAATGGATTTATGAAAATAGATTTTGACAATGAGATGTTGTCAAATAAATTAAATTTGAAAAAAAAAAATTAAACATATGATTACATGACTTTACCTTCTTAGTTTTATCATGGGAGGAATATAATCTAACAGAAAACTAATATTTTAATCTCATAACTCAGCTATGATTATGGAATGGGTGAATTTGGATTTAGCAAAGGCTAGGACTGGTAAAAGACTGTCCTAACTCATTTTCAGTCCGATTGGCATTAAATTCATTACAGGAAGTTGTAAGTTTTCAGCTGGCAATTTTGGGGATTTGATCCTTACAGAGTGATCCGAGGGCTACACAAGAAATAATATCATCGAGAACGTTTCCTTAAGATGAAGGGTTTAAAAACTCTATGTTTATATCATTAAGCCTAAGAAAGGGTAAATTGGTCTTCTTAAGATATGAAACATGTACCTGTTTTACGTGCCAAGGAACTCCGAAAATAAATGATTATCTATTATTTTTGTAAATCTGCAACTCGTCATACGTAAATATTTTAGATATGAAAATACGTTTCATTTGAAAAATGATAAGGACGAGTTCATCAGAAAAGGGTTGCCATATGTCTACCTGTATTGTTTTACCATGCTATGTAGGCATAATTACAATAATTAAGATGAGAATACATAAAGCGCTTTTGGACTGGCTTAAGTCATCGCCTGGCTTCTT